GATATATACCGTATTATCTGGCGTATAAGACTACTTTTTAACCCAAAAAATCTTCTCAAAAGTCAGGGGTCGTCTTATACACCGGGAGTAGATTTATATGCTGAGAGTAGTCATATATGCTAGGAGTAGTCTTATACGGCGGGGATTGTCTTATAGAGCGGGTGCTGAAACTTCCAATCCGGATTGGAGAATCTGTGATTGCTGCATATTGTGGGGGAGCTCAAAAATGGCAGTGGCCGCATCCCTGCCATATGCAGCGACTGTATGAAAGCATTAAGGGCGACGCTGTACAAGTACGGTAGAAGAAAATCCATTCATCAGGATTCGTGGACTTAATGCGGTCCCGATGGTGAGGTGAAGGGGCGCCTCACCGGGAAGGTGTAAGTGAAGGGCAGAGCAAGCTGCAGGTGTCCAGGGCACCCGGGGTATGGAAAAAAGAGATAGAACGGCTCTGGGCCCAGACAAACACACCTCTTTTACCTGTCTGGCCCGCCCTTGTATCCTATTTATTTATTTAGAAATTTTCTATACCGGCCTTCTCACCTGACGAGGGACTCAGGTTGGTTTACAGCATATATAAAATACAATCATATAAAGAACAACAAGTGCAAAGTCATTACATATTAAAATAGTAAATACAGTACAATAAAACATCATCATTACAATTACCTAAGCCAAATCGTCAATCCAGTCATGGTCATATTCATACTCGTAGTCACAGTTCATCATAATTCATCACAGGGAGAGGTTCTAGGTTCAGTCCTCAAATGCCACATTCCAGAGCCAGGTTTTTAGTAATTTCCTTAATGTTAGGAGGGAGGGAGCAGATCTGATCTCTAGTGGGAGGGAGTTCCAAAGCCGGGGGGCCACCACCGAGAAGGCCCTGTCCCTCATCCCCACCAACCGTGATTGCGAGGGTGGTGGGACCGAGAGCAGCCCCCCCCGGAAGATCTTAATAGCCTTGATGGTTCATAGGGGAGAATCCATTCGGACAAGTAAACTGGGCCAGAGTCGTTTAGGGCTATTACCATACCTCCTTCTCTGCCCCTCAGATCTCACTTCTGAAGACTGCAGTGAAGTGGTGCAGGTGCGCATGTGCGAGATATGAGAGGCAGAGAAGGAGGTACAATAATAGGAAAATTGAAATCAAATCTGATGTTTCAAAATTTTTATTTGGTGTGTGTTGGAAGAGGGGTAGTCTTGTACGGCGAGTGTATCCCTAACTCTATATTTTAACTGGAAAAGTTGGGGGTCGTCTTATATGCTCAGTCGTCTTATATGCCGGAATATACGGTAGATAAAACAGATAAGATGGATAGATAGGTTTTTTTTGTCGTGTCAGGAGAAACTTGAGAAACTGCAAGTTGCTTCTGGTGTGAGAGAATTGGCTGTCTGCAAGGACGTTGCCCAGGGGACGCCCAGATGATTTGATGTTTTTTATCATCCTTGTGGGAGGCTTCTCTCATGTCCCCGCATGAGGAGCTGGAGTTGATAGAGGGAGCTCATCCGCCTCTCCCTGGATTCGTACCTGCGATCTGTTGGTCTTTAGTCCTGCCGGTTTAACCCACTGCGCCACCGGGGGCTCCAGATAGATAGATAGGGTAGATAGATAAGATATATAGATAAGGAGGAAAGGATACTAGAGGCCAAGATGAAGTCCTTTGGCCACATCATGAAAAGAGAAAGGAAGCTTGGAGAAAACAATGATGCTGTAGAAAATGGAAGGAAATAGGAAGAGGGGCCGACCAAGGGCAAGATGGATGGATGGTATTCTTGAAGTGACTGGCTTGACTCTGAAGGAGCTGGGGGTGGTGACAGCCGACAGGGAGCTCTGGTCCAGGAGGTCACGAAGAGTCAGAAGCCACTGAACAAATAAACAACAAAAGATAGATAGATGGAGTAGATAGAATAGCTAGATGGGAATAGATAAAATAGATTTAGATAGATAAAAGATAAAGAGATAGGCAGACAGATAGATAGGTGGAGTAGAAAGACAAATAGATAAGATATATAGATAGACAGATAGATAAATAGATGGAGTAAATAAAGGTAGATAAAGAGATAGATAGATAGATAGATAGAGCAGAAAGACAGATAAGATATATAGATAGATTAGCTGTCCCCTGCCACGTGTTGCTGTGGCCCAGTCTGTGTATATGTGCTTTGTGTGTATATATTCGTGTATATGTGGATATATGTGGGGGGTTTTGTGCATGTGTTGTAATGTATTTTTTTTTACTTTTGAAGTCTTTCCTGCTGTGTTTTTCAGTGTTTTTATGAGTGATGGTCACTCGTTGGCCTGATACGTGTATAGTATCCAAATTGGTGGCCCAGTCTAGTGATCTGGAAAATAAAGTAATGAGAAAGTGTTGGTTTCTAATATATGTAATTTCTTTGTGCTTGTGGGTAAACAGTATTTCTTGCTTTTTCTATTCAGTGTTGATGTAGATTGTGCTGGGGGGGGGGGGGGGGGGGGGGCTTGAGGGGCTTCAGCCCCCCCCCCCCCCGAAATTCTCATGGTGGTTCGCGAAAAGGCCTCACTGGTGCATTATTTAAACTGTTATGTTTATTCATATCATGATCTGATCACCATACTCAATATATCCCATATGCATGGGGGTATTGGGGTAATGATACAAAAGGTTTGCTAGGCTAGACCCTCTTTCACTCAGACTCAGCCCCCCCAAAACTCAGCCCCCCTGAAACCCCCCCTGAAAAAAATTAACCCCCCCCCCCCGAAACGAAATCCTGGCTACGGGCCTGGTCAGTATTGATGTAGAGATTGTCTGGTTTGCCTACTCTGGAACATGCAACATATCATAGTCCTTCTTTAAGGGTCTCTTTCAAGTCTATGATACTATATCTCTGTGTGTATGACTCATATATATCTATCTCTATCTATGCCTGGATGTCTCTTTGTCAGGAGGGCTTTCATTACGTTTTCTTGCCCCGGTGAATGGAGTTGGACTGGATGGCCTTAAGTATTTTCTGTTTGTCATGGGGGTTCTGTATGGGAAGTTTGCCCCAATTCTGTCGTTCGTGGGGTTCAGAATGCTCTTTGATTGTAGGTGAACTATAAATCCCAGTAACTATAACTCCCTAATGTCAAGGTCTATTTTCCCCAAACTTCATCTGTGTTCACATTCGGGCATATGGAATATTTTTGCCAAGTTTGGTCCAGATCCATCATTGTTTGAGTCCACAGTGCTCTCTGGATGTAGATAAACTACAACTCCCAAACTAAAGGTCAAAGACCATCAAACTCTTCTAGTGTTTTCTGTTGTTCATGGGAGTCCTGTGTGCCAAGTTTGGTTCAACTCCATCATTGGTGGAGTTCAGAATGATTTGTGATTGAAGGTGATCTATAAATCCCAGCAACTACAACTCCCAAATTTCAAGGTCTATTTTCCCCAAACTCCACCAATGTTCACATTTGGGCGTATTGAGTATTCTTGTAGAGTTTGGTCCAGATCCATCATTGTTTGAGTCCACAGTAATCTTTGGATGTAGGTGAACTACAATTCCAAAACCAAAGGAAACTGCCCATCAAACCATTCCAGTATTTTCTGTTGGTCATGGGAGTTCTGTGTGCCAAGTTTGGTCCAATTCTATTTTCGGTGGGGTTCAGAATGCTCTTTGATTGTAGGTGAACTATAAATCCCAGCAACTACAACTCCCAAATGACAAAATCAATTTTTTTGAGTGAAGGACATACATTGAGTTGTTAGGTGTCTTGTGTCCAAATTTGGTGCCAATTCGTCCAGTGGTTTTTGAGTTCTGTTAATCCCACAAACAAACATTACATTTTTATTTAGATAGATAGATAGATAGATAGATAGATAGATAGATCAGAAGAGCTGCAAGACCGAGAACAAGCCACGAGAGTCAAGACAGAGATCCACCCAGAGGAAAAGTGTTCCTGCCATACATCAAGGGAACCACTGACTGCATAAGGAAGCTGATGAGTAAACACAACATACAAACTATCTACAGACCCACCAAGAAAATCCAACAAATGCTCTGTTCAGCAAAGGACAAGAGGGATCCTCTGACCTCTGCAGGAGTCTACCGTGTACCATGCAGCTGTGGACAAGAAGTCTCCATAGGAACCCCCAAACGCAGCAGCATTGCCCAGACACGCATCAAGGAACATGAAAGGCACTGCAGACTACTTCAACCAGAGAAGTCAGCCATAGCAGAGCACCTGATGAACCAGCCTGGACACAGCATATTATTTGAGAACACAGAAATGATGGACCACTCTCAGAACCACCATGTCAGACTACAAGCCATTGAAATCCACAAGCATGTGGACAATTTCAACAGAAAGGAGGAAACAATGAAAATGAACACAATCTGGCTACCAGTAATAAAAAAACTCTAAAACTAAAACAGCAAAACAGCAGAGGTAAAATAATCAGGGACATCTAATCACCTCTCAACGAAAGTTTGCTCTAGGCACTGTCAGGCAATTATATGCTAATCAAGGTGGTGAGTTGAAACATTCACACCTAGCTCCAGCAGACAAGAGTCCTTTGTCTCACCCTGGTCATTCCACAGATATATAAACCCTTTTTCCTACTTCCAACATCTGAGGATGCTTGCCATAGATGCAGGCGAAACGTCAGGAGAGAATGCCTCTAGAACATGGCCATATCGCCCGAAAAAACCTACAACAACCAGTGATTCCGGCCATGAAAGCCTTCGACAATAGATAGATAGTGGATAGATGGAGTAGACAGATTGATAGATAGATGTAGATAAAATAGATAAGACAGACAGATAGACAGAACAGCTACGACAGATGGAGTAGTTAGAAAGAGGCAGATAGACAGATAGATACTAGATATAAGAAGACAGACAGATAGACAGAAAGCGAGATTCTATCTATGATAAGAGAGATGGAGTAGCTAGCCAGCTAGAAAGAGAAGGGAAGCTGCACGCGCAGCCCCTCCTCCTGCTCCTGGCCCCTCCCTTCCCGCCCCGAGATCACATGACCCTCCCTGCCTGCTTGGCCTGCCTAGGCTGCGCGCGCACGCCCTTCCCTTCCACCCTGGGCCTGCCTGCCTCTCTCTCTCTCTCTCTCTCTCTCTCTTCTCTTTTTCTCCACCCAGAAGAAAGAAGGCCCTTGCAAGGCAGAACAGTCAATAAAGGAAGCAGAAGATGAAGAGGTAGGTGACCAGGAAGAGGAAGAAAGGCGCTTTGCTTCCTTCCTCCATCTAGTTTCTATCTATCTAGCTGCCTATCTGCATTGCATACATGTATTTGCAGTGCATGGATGGGATTTCAATTGCATACATGTATTTGCAGTGCATGGATGGGATTTCAATTGCATACTTGTATTTGCAGTGCTGGGATGGGATTTCAATTGCATACATGTATTTGCAGTGCTGGGATGGGATTTGCATTGCATACATGTATTTGCAGTGCAGGGATGGGATTTCAATTGCATACATGTATTTGCAGTGCATGGATGGATTTGCATTGCATGCATGCATTGCATACAGAGAGGCTTGCATATAGAGAAATATCTTATATTTTATATCCAATCTCCATGCATTACATGCCATATTTCATAGGTGGAGAAGAGAGACCATAGATATCATATAAAATGTGTATTTATACCCTCTCTCTCTCTCTCTCTCTCTCTCTCTCTCTATATATATATATATATATATAGTTTATTTATGCATTTTATATATGTGTGCATATTTATGCATTATATATATATGCATATGTATAAAATGTGTGTTTATGCATTATATATGTGTGTATTGATGCATTATATGTATACATATATAATGGCAATTTATGCATTATATATAATGTGTGTATCTATATGCAATATGTATATATCCATATGTGTGTGTTTTGTTGTATACTCTCGATATATAGATATATTTGCATGCGTTTTATTATAGAGAGATATAAATAGACAATATATACATAGATATGTTTGCATACGTATATAAAATATATATATAATAAAATACTATTATTATTGTGTGCCTTAGTTGTATTTTATGAATATAAATACATATGCATGCATTTTGCATATTATATATATATATATACACACAACAACAACAACAATAATAGTAATAATATAGTATTTTATTATATATGCACACACTTACATATATTGTGTGTGTATGTTTCCTTCTGGCACCCTTCCTCCACAAAAGATGGTGCTAAAAAGCATGCTGCTATTTGGAGAGAGAGAAAAATCCTGTCTTTTGGGGAGGGGGGCATCATTCTGGATAAGGAAATGCTCTTTTTCTGGACAGGACCTTTTAAAAAATCCACATGGCTTTAGGAAAATTCCATCTTTCTGGATAATCAAGTCTAGAAAACACCCTTCTGGAAACCCTTTCTGAGTGGAAGAGGAAACCCCCTTTCTGAATATGTCCTCGATAAGGCCTGAAAAACACACATCCCTGTTCTAGAACAACCCAAAAATGTGACACGTTTTCTGGATAAAGCCCGAGGGGGAAATGTCTGGAAATACTGTCTGGAAATCTCTCTCTTTTTGGAATAAGGTCTGGAGATTACCCATTCCTGGATCGGGGTGGTGGTGGTTAATCTTTCTAGATATCATTTTGAGGAGGGAACTCTTTTCTAGAATTTCCAGGTCTAGAAACAATGTTTTGGTAAGGCCCAACAAATCCCTTTTCTGGATAGGATTAGGATAGGATCTAAATAATTATCCTTTCTTTGCGAATAGTGTCTGGAAACCCATCGTTCTGGACAAGGCCTGGAAAACCTTTTTTTCTGGAAAAAATTATTATTGTTATTGTAATATTTGGCTACTCCAAATGGATTCAGAGAATGGATTAAGGGAAACAAAGTATTGCATAGGGACAGGGGAATAATAATAATAAGAAGAGGAACAATAATAATAATAATAATAATAATAATAATGTGTTGCTACTGCAAATGGATTCAGATAATGGAATAGGGAAAGGCAGCATTACACAGATAGAGAGGCATAATAATAATAATAATAATAATAATAATAATAATAATAATAATAATAAATAATATCTGACCACTCTAAAGGGATTCAGACAACGGATTAAGGAACATGAAGCATTACATAGGACGGGGAATGATGATGATGATGTCTTTCTACTCCAAAGAACGCTTTCTCCAGATAAGGCCTGGAAAATGCCCTATTTTTCTGGATAGGATCTCTCTGTGTGTGTGTTCGTCTTTCTGGATTGAAGTCTAGGAATGAGCTCTTTTCTGAATAATCTATATCTGTCTTTCTGGATCTTGAAATTCAATTTTGGTTATCGATGGCCCGAGGGGTAAAACCACTTTCTACACATGATCTAGAAGTCTCTCTCTGTTCTTGGACAGAGCCTTAAAAATAATCCATCCTTTTTCTGTATATGGATCTAGAAAGTTCCCTTTTTGGATAGGGTCTAAAAGATCCATTTTCCTGGACGGGGCACTAGAAAATCTTTCAATTCTCTCGATAAGATCTGGGAAAATCCCAATCCGGGTTGATTTATATATCCGCCATTTTTCTGGATGTAGAAACCCAGATTGGGATTTTGCAGATCTCATCGGGGGAAAAAATAGTGGATTTTCTAGCTCCAGCAGACAAGTGTCCTTTGTCCCACCCTGGTCATTCCACAGATATATAAACCCTTTTCCCTAGTTCCAGCAGACCTCACTACCTCTGAGGATGCTTGCCATAGATGCAGGCGAAACGTCAGGAGAGAATGCCTCTAGACCATGGCCATATAGCCGAAAAAAACCCCTATAACAACCCAGTGGATTTTCTAGATCATAAAAGAAAGGTTTAGGGTTTAGGTTGATATAATGGTTTGTACTGAGTTTATATACAGGGTTATGTGGAATACATATAGATATATATATCCAGAATTTCACTGAATTTATGTAAATATTTCTGTTTGAGCTTATGTTTGTGATTTACTTCTTTCTGTGCTTTTTGCGCTAATCAATTATTTTTATTTGAAATAATAATAGATAATAAAGATATCATGCTTATAATATAATTAGTAATTATAATAAAATATAATAGCAAAACAACAATAATACTATATAATAATACCATATAATAATAATGATATCTCACTTTACTCTTGCTGAGTTTATATAGTGCTTTTAAGCTGAGTTTGTACATATATGTGTGTGTGTGTGTAGGTTTGTGTTGGGTTTATGTTTGAGCCGAAATATTGGTTTATGCTGAATCTATACAGAGACTTATATGGAGTTTAATATATTTGTTTCTGAGGTATTTACATGGCGTTTATACAGATAGAGTTTTATATATTGTTTCAATCTGTGTGTGTGTATACACACACACACACATATATATAGGCCTTGCCTAGGTTGGTGTTAGCGTTTATATGTATAGTTTGATTTCAGTTAGTTCTTTTTTCAAGTTGAATGATTTCATTTCCCCCCTTTTCTTTCGTCCTTCTTTTTATTTGCTTTTCTCAGACAGATTAACCAGATGGAGGAGAGGAGGGCTTATGACAGAGAGAGAAGGAAGGAAGGAAAGCGGTAATAATAGTGAAGAGGGAGGAGAGAGGAAGGAAGGAGGAAAAAGAGAAGGAAAGAAGGAAAAGAAAGGGAGAAAGGGGAAGAGAGAAGGATGGACATCTTTATTTATTTATATCCTGCTTTATTTCTCCATACGGAGACTCAAGGCGGCTCACAATCAAAAACATGACAACTTAAAATATACAATAATAAAACAGTATTATCATGATATATTATATATTATCAGTTGTATTATTATATTTAATATATTAGTATTATATTTTATTTATCGTGTCAGGAGCAAACCAAAACAGTTGTATTGCATTAAAAACAAACAAACAAAATACTAAGTTTGCAGACTTGGTATTCTATTAAATGTCCTTTGACCAGTATCTGGCCACTTGGAGTGCCTCTGGTGTTGCTGCAAGAAGGTCCTCCATTGTGCATGTGGCGGGGCTCAGGTTGCATTGCTGCAGGTGGTCTGTGGGTTGCTCTTCTCCACACTCGCATGTCGTGGATTCCACTTTGTAGCCCCATTTCTGAAGGTTGGCTCTGCATCTCGTGGTGCCAGAGCGCAGTCTGTTCAGCACCTTCCAATTTGCCCAGTTTTCTGTGTGCCCAGGGGGGAGTCTCTCATTTGGTATCAGCCATTGATTGAGGTTTTGAACCTGCCACTTTTGGACTCTCGCTTGCTGAGGTGTTCCAGCGAGTGTCTCTGTAGATCTTAGAAAACTATTTCTTGATTTAAGTCGTTGGCGTGTTGGCTGCTACCCAAATGGGGTGGGCCGGAGATTTCACGGCCTTGGTCCTTTCACTATTATTGTATTACAATATTATCATATATTATTGTTAGTAGTAGTATTACATTGTATTAAATGGCAATATTAATATTATATTTAATGATTAGCATAGCACAATATTAGTATGATATATCATTGAAGGAAGGAAATGAAAGAAGGGAGAGAGAACAAAAAGGAGAGGAAAGGAAGGAAAGAAAAAGGAAGACAGAGTAGAAGAAGAAAGGAAGAGAAGGGAGAAGGAAGGAAGGAAAAAGTAGAGAAGGAAAGAAGGAAAAAAGTAGGAGGGAGAGACTGAAGAAGAGGGAAGGGTGGAAATGAAGGATGGGAGGGAGAGAAAGAAAGGAGGGGGGAAAGAGAAGGAAGGAAAGAAAAAGAAGAGGAAGAAAGGATGAATGGGAGGAAAGAAGTAAGAGAAGGGAGGGAGGAAAGCAAAGGATGGCAGGAAGAGAGAGAAGGAACAGTGGAAGAGAGGAAAGATTGAAGAGGGAAGGATGGATGGGTGGAAGGAAGAGAAGAAAAGAAAAGGAAGGCAAGATTGAGGGGGATGGATGGCAAGAGTGAGAGAAGAAAGGAAAGGAGGAAAGAAAGAAAGGAACAGAAGGAAGGAAGGCAGGATTGCATGCTATCCTTCTCCCTGAAGTTACTATCAAGTCGCCCTGCGAAAGCATAGGAAAGAGCTGTTATTACGGCTAACGGGATTGCCCTAACGAGCTTCCCTTTCGTTTATGGGATTGAGAGAGGATTAACGGCCCTTAATTGGTTTCTCTAGATTAAGAGAAGTCTAATCCAGTTATTTAGACCTTGGGATATCGCTTCGCTTGTGGAACGGGGAAATCAAGAACAAATGAATAACAACAACGTCAAGTTTCTTGAATTTTCTGTTGTCCTCTGAAAGTATGCTTGTTTGTATTTGGGGCTATATGTCCAAATGATGTATATTTCAAAATTATAACGTGAGAATTATTTTAAGGTGGCTATAGAAGGATGTGTGTATCAAAGCAGAGCCCTGATCCATCAAGCCATATAGGAATACATATGTATTTGTTCAATTTTGAGGCCGTATACCCAAATAATGAGGATTTTAAAGATGAAACTTCACAATAATTTTAAGTTAGGGAATAGCAGATATGTGGTGACAGGTTTGGTCCCAATCCATCATGCCCTGTAGGAGCCTTTGAGGCACAAACAGACATATGTACATAACAATTTGTTTTTAGGGCCGTACACCCAAACAATGGTGACGCAGCAGGTTAAACCTCTGAGCTGCTGAACTTGCTGATTGAAAGGTCAGTGGTTTGAATCTGGGGAGCAGGATGAGGTCCTGCTGTTGGTCCCAGCTTCTGCCAACCAAGCAATTTGATAACATGCAAGTGTGATCAATAGGTGCCACTTCTGCGGGAATGTATCGGCGCTTCATAGAGTCATGATGGCCACATGACCTAGGAGGTGTCTATGGACAGCGCCAGCTCTTCGGCTTAGAAATAGAGATGAGCACCACCACCCAGAGTCGGACATGACTAGACTTAATGTCAGGGGAAACCTTTACTTTTACGCCCAAACGATGTGAATTTTAAAGCCGAAATCCCACAATAATTTTAATTTAAAGAATAACGAACATGCCGTGCCACGTTTGGTCCCGATCCATCATGCCATGTAGGAGCCTTTGTGGTACAAAGTAATATACATACATTCACTTTTTATATATCATAGTTGCTGTATCACTCCTGAGATCAAGGTCACTATGGGGCTATCAATCAGCCGATATCCTGTTTTCTTAACGAATGTTTAATTAACGAGCTCATCCCCACAAATGACTGTTAATGGCATATCTATCTCTAATATTAGGAACAGTCAAAATATTTGTAGTTTACAATCACCGCTGTGGTTAATTAGCACAAAAGAAGTATGTTTTGTTTGTATTTGATTCATTGTTGTCCTCTTTTCTTCCCTTCCTCTGAACAGGTGAGCGTCCAGAATCCATGTTCCTGGGGAAAAAGGATGCCATGTTTTCCCAGAATATTTCCCCAAGCAAAAACAGGAAAATTCTGATGTCAAAACATCACAACTGACCTTCACGCCAAATTGGACTATGTGAGTGTGCCAGGACGGTGTTAACATTCAATAACAGTAATGCAAGAAAACTTCCTCTAAAGAGAACCATGATCCACCTGTCGCGTTGTCCTCTTGGAACTGATTTGTTCTAACACAGTTCTAACACAGCCTCTGTTCTTTGAGAACAAGAAGATAAACCCATAGAAAATGGGAATGTTGTGACTCGTACTGGAACGATTGCCTGTGAAGTTGTTCTTGTCTGTTTCTTCAATTACGGGAATAAATCTATAGGAAACAGGAATGTTGTGACTTGTATGGAAACAAATCACCCAGGAATAATAAACCCATCAAAACGAGAACATTGTGACTGAAAAGGATCGCCCACGAAGCCAATATTTGTTTATTCTTTTTCAAGAACAGGAATTATAAAACAATTGAAAATGGAAATCTTGTGACTCACCCTGAAACAATCGCCTGTGAAGCTGTGATTCGTCCGTTTCTTCTTCGATTACGGGCATATAAATCCATAAAAACGAGAAAGTTGTGACTGTAAAAGATCGCCTGTGAAGCCGTTATTTGTGTGTTTCTTCTTCGATTACAGAAATACAAATCCATAGGAAACAGGAATGTTGTGACTCATACGGAAACAGTCATCCCTGGAAATAAACCCATATAAAATATTTTCCTTCTTTAAGAACATAAGTATGAACCAATTGAAAATGGAAATGCTTTGACTTGACCTGAAACAATTGCCCATGAAGCCGTGCTTCATTTGTTTCTTCGATTAGGGGACAGCGAACCCATAAAAACAGGAATGTAGTGACTGAAAAGGATCGCCCACAAAGCCATTCTCGTCCGTTTCGTCTTCAAGAACAGGAATTATAAATCAATTGAAAATGGGAATGTTGTGACTTGTCCTGAAACGATTGCCCATGAAGCTGTGATTTGTCAATTTCTTTTATTACAGAAACACATACCCGTGACAAATGGGAATGATTGCCTGCTAAGCATTCGCCCATCTATCTGCCATTCATCCCCTTGGAGTTAAGGGCGATCCTTTGGGTGTGTGTTGTGGGTAGGACATCCACAGGATTTGCGCCTGGGAACGTCCACGGAGATGAGAAGGGTGGTACAGGACTGCTAGGACCCTCTGCCTGCTGGTGATACCATGGGATGCCGGCAAAGCTCGGAGGAGAAAGAGGCGGCGCGGCGGTCCCGGCGGATCGACCGCCACCTGCGCTCGGAGAGCCAGCGACAGCGCCGTGAGATCAAGCTCCTCCTCCTGGGCACCAGCAACTCTGGGAAGAGCACCATTGTTAAGCAGATGAAAATCATCCACAGCGGTGGGTTCAACCTGGAGGCCTGCAAGGAGTATAAGCCGCTCATCATCTACAACGCCATCGACTCGCTCACCCGCATCATCCGGGCACTCGCCACCCTCAAGATTGAGTTCCACAACCCGGACCGGGCCTACGATGCGGTGCAACTCTTTGCCTTGACGGGCCCTGCTGAGAGCAAAGGGGAGATCACGCCCGAGCTGCTGGGGGTCATGAAGCGGCTGTGGGGCGACCCGGGCGTCCAGGAGTGCTTCTGCCGCTCCAACGAGTACCACCTGGAGGACAACGCCGCCTACTACCTGAATGACCTGGAGCGCATTGCAGCTGCAGACTACATCCCGACCGTGGAGGACATCCTGCGCTCCCGGGACATGACCACAGGGATCGTGGAAAACAAGTTCACCTTCAAGGAGCTGACCTTCAAGATGGTGGACGTGGGCGGGCAGCGCTCCGAGCGGAAGAAGTGGATCCACTGCTTTGAGGGCGTTACTGCCATCATCTTCTGTGTGGAGCTGAGTGGCTATGACCTGAAGCTTTATGAGGACAACCAGACGGTAAGGCCAGCCTCACAGGATCTCATTTGGGGTGTTCCTTGCACCTTTTTGGGAAGGATATGTGGTCTAACTGGTTTAGGGTGATCATTGCACATTTCTTGAAGTTGTACGAAGCTAACAGGACTGCAAGATGGATCTAACAGATTTCATTTAGGTGATTCTCGCATGTTTATTAAAGCTGTATGAGGATAAGCATATGGTAAGACTGGCTAAATGGGTTTCATTTGAGTGATCCTCACACCTTATTTTGAAGGGATAGGATAACAATATGGTAAGACAGGCCTACTGGGTTTTGTTTAAGTGTTTCCGCATGTTTCTTGAAGTTGTACAACAATAACCAGACTGCAAGATGGGCCTAACGGGTTTCATTTAGGTGATCCTTGCACCGTTTCTGGAGCCGTGCAAAGATAACCACACAGTAAAGTGGGGTTCATGGGTTTCGGTGATCCCCGTGCTGGCTTGTTTCATTTAGGTAATCCTTGCATGTTTATTGAAGCTGTTCGAGGACAACCAGACAGTAAGGCTGGCCTCATGGGATATTTTTTAAAAAGATACGTGATGATAACCATATAGTAAGTCAGACCTAATGGGTTTCCTTTAGGTGATCCTCGCACATTTCTTGAAGTTGTACAACAATAACTAGACTGCAAGATGGGCCTAACGGGTTTCATTTAGGTAATCCTTGCAAGGTTCCGGATCTGTACAAGGATAACCACACAGTAAAGTGTGTGGGGGCTGATGGTTTTTGGTGATCCTTGTGCAAATTTAAGTGATCCTCAGACATGTTTTGAAGCTGTGCTAGGATCACGTTTTGGTGATCGTTGCGCAATCTCTGTCGTGGTACAACGATAACCAAGCAATAAGATGGACTTAATAGATTTCGTTGAGGTGATCATCACACGATTGGATGATCCTCACATGGTTTTGAAGCTGTAAGAGCATTAAGATGGGCCTAATGGGTTTGGTGATCCTTGCACAGTTTTTGTTCCTCTTGCCCGTTAGTCAAAGTGATATGTCATTGGGTGTTATGACTTCTTTAATATCTGGCACCAAACATATATTTTTGTGTGTGTGTATGTGCGTGTGTGTGTATATATATATATATATAGATTTAGATATATATATGAAATTAGCAAGGTATTCTACATACATATATGTTTGGAAAGCCTTAACTATTATTACACGTTAGGAAGTCTAAAATGCTTCTAAATCCCATCAAGTATGTGCTTAATTGCTTTCTGGGAATAAATCAGATTACAAAGCACCGTGCCGAGATGGAAATCCATTCGGCTCCCGGCTCCGTACTGCTTTTCCACGGATATTTTAAAGATGATAAAACTAGATCTGATTATTGAATTGCTCTAACTAAACCACTGGTTCTGATCAACTCAGTGGGCCTACTTGGTTTCATTTAATAATCCGTTTGAGTCATTGATCCCACTATTGAATTGATCTAGTTGAATAATTGACTGATTATCGTTGTTTGCCATCTTTTGCCTACTTGTTTAATCAAACGATTACATTGAATAAGTGATCCAACGATAATAATAATAACAATAATAATACTTTATTTGTACCCTGCTACCATCTCCCCAAGGGACTCGGTGCGGCTTACATTAGGCCGAGCCCACAATACATCAGCAAAAACAACAACAACAGCAATACAAACAATATGAAACTCATAAACAAAAAACAGCAGTAAACATTATCAATAGCACAACAACGCATTAAAAACCTATGGCTGGGCCAAATGGAATAATTAATTTTTAAAAAAATAATGCTGAGCATGACCAGGTGAAATATATAACTAGGATAGAATTTCTGAGAGGAAAGGGGTGTGCAGACAATCCTAGATCATTGATAAAGTACATTTAGGGACATATTGCTAGGAGTTTCCTTATTCTGGGAAGGCACACTGGAACAACCATGTCTTCAGGCTCCTCCTAAAGACTGCCAGAGTTGGGGCATGCCTGATGTCCTTGGGGAGTGAGTTCCAGAGTCGAGGGGCCACCACCGAAAAAGCCCTCTTCCTCGTCCCCACCCATCACGCTTGCGATGGAGGTGGGAGCAGATGATCGAAGAGATCGTGTGGGTTCGTATACAGAAATGCTGTCACGAAGGTAGGCGGGTCCCAAACCTTTTAGGGCTTTGTAGGTAAGAACCTGCACCTTGAATTGGGACCGGAAAATGAACAGCAGCCAGTGGAGCTCCTTAAACAGGAGGGTTGAGCGCTCCCTGTAAGGAGCACCAGTTAACAGCCTGGCAGCCGCCCGTTGAACCAATTGAAAATTCCGGGCCGTTTTCAAGGGCAGCCCCACATAGAGTGCATTATAGTAGTCCAATCTGGAGGTGACTAAAGCATGGACCACCCTGGCCAGATCCGCCTTCATGAGGTACAGTCGCAGTTGGTGCACAAGTCTTAATTGTGCAAAGGCCCTCCTGGCCACTGCCGACACCTGAGCTTCAAGCATCAGTGATGAGTCCAGGAGGACACCCAGACTGCGGTGTCATTGAATTGATTTAGTTAAATAATCAATTCTGACCAAGTCGGTGGGACTACTTGTCTTTAGTGAATGATCAGACTGAATAATTGATTCTGATCCAATCGATGGCCTATTTGTCTCATGTAAAGGTCTAATGAATAATCAATCCTGATCAATGCACTGGGCTGCTTAGTTTCATTGAATGATACAACTGAATAATTGATTCTGATAGTCTCAATGGGTCTACTTAACTCAGTGATCTATAGGAACAAATTATCCAAGTATTGAATTGATCTAGTTGAATATTCCTTTCTGATTGATTCAATGGACCTACGTAACTGAATGATCTAAAGGAACAATTGATCTGAGTGTTGACTTCATCCAGTTGAATAATTGATTTGGATCGATTCAACAGGCCTACATGTTTCATTGAATGATCTAATTGGATAATTCATCCAACTACAGAATTGATCCAGTTTGAATAATTGATTGTAATCGATTCGGAGGGCCTCCTTAACAGAGTGATATAAATGAACAATTGATCCAAGTATTGAATTGAGGTAGTTGAATATTTGGTTCTTATTGATTTGGAGGATCTTATTGTTTCATTTAATGATCTAATCTAATAATTCATCTAATAATTCATCTGAGTGTTGAATTGATGTAGTTGAATATTCAGTTCCGATTGATTCGGAGGACCTACTTGTTTCATTGAACAATCTAATTGAATAATTCATCTGATTGTTGAATTGATGAATAATTCAATTCAGTTCAGATTGATTTGGAGGACCTACTTGGTTCATTCAACAATCTAATTGAACAATTCATCAGACCACTGAATTGATTAAATTGGCTATTCGATTCTGATCAATTTTAGAGGGGTTCCCTGTTTTCCTGAGTGATCTAAACAAATGTTATTGATCTCGCTGTGGTGCCTGACTTCCCTTCTTGGCTTCCCCTCGCAGAGTCGCATGGCCGAGAGCCTCCGCCTCTTCGACTCAATCTGCAACAACAACTGGTTCATCAACACCTCACTGATCCTTTTCCTGAACAAGAAGGACCTGCTGGCGGAGAAGATCCGCCGGATCCCGCTGAGCGCCTGCTTCCCAGAGTACAAAGGCCAGAACACCTATGAGGAGGCCGCCGTCTACATCCAACGCCAGTTCGAGGACTTGAACCGCAACAAGGAGACCAAGGAGATCTACTCTCACTTCACCTGCGCCACTGACACCAGTAACATCCAGTTCGTCTTCGATGCCGTCACAGACGTCATCATCCAGAACAACCTCAAGTACATTGGGCTTTGCTAAACCAGGTTTGATCATTAATGAGGCCCAAACGAGACGCCCGCCGCAATGGACCAGCAGCGGGATAGACCTCTCAAAGGAAACATTCTAATTGGGAGGAAAGAAGGAATGATCAGTAGTGAACTCACGATCCTTCCGACGGGGGGGTTGGCTCCCCGCTTCACGCATGCACTTTTCATTGTTTTCGTTGTTCAGGGAGGGGAAATAATGAAGATTTGCCTTCGATTTAAAAAGGGGTTCGAGTTTCTGAACTGAAAAAGAAAACCTGCTACTCTAACGTCGCTGCTGCCTCTCATCGTCTGTTTATTTTTCTAATTTATTTATTTATTATTTATTATTAATTAATTGTTGCCCCGTTTTGTGTCTTGTCAGTCTTAACGAGATTGAATATATTTAATTCTCATTTTTTTGTGTCCAAGTGAAATCAATTAACGGAACATGTAGATTTGTTAATACAAAAGTTGGAATATATTTAATTTTTTTTAATGTCAGCGCAAAATCAATTAACGGGAGACTTGGGTCCATTAATAAAAGAGATGGAATATATTTTATTTAATTTAATTAAATATATTCTATTTTTTTCATCCAAGCAAAATCAATTAACAGGAGGTGTAGGTTCATTAATATAGGAAATGGGATATATTGAATTAAATTTTCTGTGAGCAAAACCAGTTAACGGGAGACTTAATACAGTAAATAGAATATATTTAATTTAATGTTTTGTGTGTTCAAGTAAAATCAATTAATGGTAGACTTGGGTTCATTAATACAAGAGGTGGAATATATGTAATTTTTGAGAAAAAATTATTAATTGCATTAATTAATACAAGAGGTGGAATTACTTGTTATTTTTCTTTGTTGTTACAAAGAACGAAAAACAAAATAATGGGAAACTCGGGTTAAATAATACCGGGGAAATTAAGCTTATTAATTGTGTTAATTTGTATCAGTTGATACCAATTATCAATAATAATGTATCAATAATAGTCTGTGTTTTGCATAACTTTGAGGTGAACGCCAAGGCTATGTATTAATGGTCTTGTATTTTTGTTTTTTGCATCATTAATTGATGGCGAATATTCAGATTAAGTGTTAACGGGAATCCCAGCAAGCACTAAATATGCAGCCAAAAATTATAAATATATATATGAATAAATAGGAAAACAAACAAATGAATTGCATTCCTAATATATAAGGCTAGGCCAAACTCTGAAGAAGTATTTTATACATATTTTTACATTCCTTTTAATTAACTTATTGTTAATTTTTTATTGCCGAATAATTGTGCTCTTAACACAAACAAACAAAGTATAATAAATAGATGTAGGTTGTTTTAATTTAAGTTTTTTAAATTAAAAATCATGTTGTGTCTGGAATTTTAATGAGAGTGCCATATAGACGGATATAATGATAAAACTTATAAAAGGAATTAATGCCTTCCTTTAAAAAAAAAACCCACTGGATGCCAATGTGAAACTGTACAATATAGCCTTTTAAAGTCTTTTAATTTTAATTTCTATTTCTTATGATTTTATTATTCTATTTTAACGTGATGTAATTATTAGGTGAAGAGATGAGTGATATGAACAATATTTAAATGTCTAGATATTTAATTTTTTTTAAGTGGAATTAAAAGAAGTGGAAGTGACAAGTTACAATTCTTCCCTCCCCCCAACTTTCTATAAAATAATATTGGATGGTATATTTAGCAAGCTTACAATTATTTTATTTGATATTCTGAGAAAAGTGTTGTGTGAGATTACGGTTTTTGCGTGGATCTGCCATTTTTCACGAGGGTCGCACGACTGTTATTCTCTGTGCAAAAGACTTCTTTATCAAATTAACAATTATTATTTGAAAATGTGGAAGTCTGAGAAAATTGATAACTTTCATGTGGGTCATTAAGTTTTCACGTGGCTCGCACGACTAGTACTGTAACATGATTCCTCCGTGCAAAAGACTTAATTTCCTTCCTTTTTAAAAACGGATCGGTGTATGCTAAGTGTGTAAATGTATGTGCAAAGAACTGTAAACCACATCAAGGCACTTCCTCCTTTTCACACACACTCGCACTCACACAAACACACAATGACTTCCTTCCCCTTTCCTCTTGTGTTTCCTGATTATATGAAGATTGTCAGCCAAGGCCTTTACAGATTTTAAATAAACCATAATAAAACGGAGAACAAAGGAAATGGTGATAGTGACAAATGTTTTAACGGACTGTTTCCCCCTTTGCTTTAAAGAAAAGATAATAAATTAATCCTAAAAAAACATATTTTCAACTGTGGTCGTCGTTTGTAGAAATTTCAGAATGAGCTTTGCAGTTCCGAAAGATTGTGAACAATTTTTAAAATTAATTTTAAAATAACAATTACAAATTTGTAATTAAGTTATTTTTAAATTAATTAAACAGTTAAATTATTTCAATTATTAAAATATTAAATGATTTTAAGTTCTTGAAACGTAATGAATTAAAGTACTTACTTAGGCGATCCCTTGTAGCTCGAGGATGATTGTCTTCCAGATGTGGTGTCTTGGTGGTTCGTCCGTAGGTGGCTGTAGAGCCCTATTCTTGATCTGCATGTTCTCCCGCAGTGAGGACATCGGTTTCCAGACGGAAGGTGGTCCCGGTCAGGGTTGGTTTGATATGCCTTCCTCTTGGTACGTTTCTCCCTTTTGCCCTCCATTCGTGCCTCTTCGAATTCTGCAGCACCGCTGGTCACAGCTGAACTCCAGTTAGAGCGCTCAAGGGCCCATCTTTAAATCTATTTAAACCCATCTTTAAATCTATTTTCCTGTCCACCAACATTACTTTTCCTGTTCTTGAGTTTGGAGTAGAATAACTGCTTTGGAAGATGCTGATCGGGCATTCGGACAACGTGGCCAGTCCAGCGGAGTTGATGGCGGAGGACCATCGCTTCAATGCTGGTGGTCTTTGCTTCTTCCAGCACGCTGACGTTTGTCTGCCTGTCTTCAACAAGAGATTTGCAGGATTTTTTGGAGGCAGTGCTGATAGAATCATTCCAGGAGCAGTATGACGTCTGTAGACAGTCCACATTTCACAGGTTGGGAGGACAATGGCTTTATAAACAAGCACCTTGGTATCCCTACAGATGTCCCAGTCCTCAAGCACTCTCTGCTTCAAAAGGAAAATGCTGCGCTCACAGAGCTCAGGTAATGTTGTATTTCAGTGTCAATGTTGACTTTTGTGGAGAGGTGGCTGCCATTTTCTAACGTTACACCATTAAGCTGTATTTTGGCATTGGAGAGGGAATGGACTGCTGGAAAAGAACTTTGGTTTTCTCGATGTTCAATTAGAGGCCCAGCTTCTCATATGCTTCTGCAAATGTGTTTAGAGTGGCTTGTAGGTCATCTCCTGAATGCGCACAGACGACTTTGTCATCAGCATACTGGAGTTCTATAACATGTTGAGACCTTGGTTTTGGCTTTTAGTCTGCTGAGGTTAAATAGCTTGCCATCTGTCCGACAGATTATTTCCACTCTGGTGGGAAGCATCCCGTCAACAAGATGAATTATCATAGCGATGAAGATGAGTATAGACAAGATTATACATGTACATACACGAGGGGCTGTGGTTAAAGGGGTATCCTTTAGTCTGCTGAGGTTAAATAGCTTGCCATCTGTCCAATAGATGATTTCCACTCCTGTGGGAAGCTTCATTTCAACAAGATGAAGTATCAAATTTTCCAGAACAGATGATCCAATCGTGACATACCTCCTCCAAAATGTGTTTTTTCTTTCTGACTCAACGGGTTAGGAAAACCCATTTTCCTAACCAGAAAACGCAACATCTTCCCAACTTCCAGAAAACACAACATCTTCCCAACTTTATAAACTTCAAAAATTTTGAATTTTCTGACCTGCCAGGTTAGGAGAAGCCTCAAATTCTCCAGAATAGGCGAGGTCTTCCCATCATGAAATACTCCCAAAATTTGGGTTGTTCTGACCTGCTGGGTTAAGAAAAACATAACATTTTCCAGAAAAGTCAAGATTGTCTAGTTATGAAATACAACCAAAATTTGGATTTGTCTGACCCATCAGGTAAGGAAAAACCTCAGATTTTCTAGAATAGGCGACATCTTCCAATAATTAAATACCTCCAAAATTTTGATTTTTTTCTGACTCACCGGGTTAGGAAAAACCTCAGATTTTCCAGAAAAGGTGACTTTTGCAATCCTGAAATACTTCCAAAATTTGGATTTTTCTGGGTTAGGAAAAATGTCAAATTTTCCAGAATAGGAGACGTCGTCCCACCATAAAATACTTCCAAAATTTGGATTTTTCTGGCCTGCTGGGTTAGGAAAAATGTCAAATTTTCCAGAATAGGTGACATCTTCCTACCGTAAAATATTTCCAAAATTTGGATGTTTCTGACCCGTTGGGTTAGGAAAAATCTCAAGTTTTCCAGAATAGGGGACAAATTCCAGTTGTGAAATACTTCCAAAATTTAGATTTTTCTGACCCACTAGGTTAGAAAAAAACTCAAGTTGTCCAGAAAACATGATATTTTCCAATCGTGAAATACTTCCAAAATTTGGATGTTTCCAACCCGCTGGGTTTTGAAAAACCTCAAATTTTCCAGGAAAGGCTATGTCTTCCCATCCTGAAATTCTTCCAAAATTTGGGTTTTTCGGACCCACCGGATTATGGAAAATGTCAAATTTTCCAGAATAGGTGATGTCTTCCAATCACAAAATACTTCAGAAAATCCAAATTTTGGAAGTGTTTCACGATTCAAAAATGTCACCATTTGTGGAAAAATTGAGGTTTTTCCTAACCCAGCGGGGCAGAAAAATCTAAATTTTGGAAGTATTTCGGGATTTGATGTCACAGCTTCTGGAAAATTTCAGGTTTTTTCTAACCCAGTGGGTCAGAAAAATCCAAATGTTGGAGAAGTTTTTAAAGTATCGAAGATGTCAACTTTTCTGCAAAATTTGAGGTTTTTCATAATCCGGGGGGGGTCAGAAAAATACAAAGTTTGGAAGTTTTTGAAGTTTAGAAGACATTGACTTTCCTGCAAAATTTGAGGTTTTTCCTAACCTGGCGGGTCAGAAAAATCCATTTTTTTGAAGTATTTCAGGATTTGAAAAGGTCACCTTTTCTGGAAATGTTCAGGTTTTTCCTAACCCAGCAGTCAAAAATCCAAATTTTGGAAGTATTTCCCAGTTCGAAGATATCACGTTTTCCGGAAATTTTGAGGTTTTTCCTAACCTAGCAGTCAGAAAAATCCAAATTTTGGAAGTATTTATCGGTTCGAAGATATCACGTTTTCCGAAAAATTTGACTTTTTCCTAACCCAGCCGGTCAGAAAAATCCAAATTTTGGATGTTTTTATGGTTTGGAAGATGTTGCCTTTTCTGGAAAATTTAAGGTTTTTCCTATCCTGGCAGGTCAGATAAATCCAAATTTTGGAAGTCTTTCAGGATTGGAAGATGTCTCCTTTTCTGAAAAATCTGAGGTTTTTCCTAACCTAACAGCTCAGAAAAATCCAAACTTGGGAAGCATTCCCCTTTTTTTTTGGGAAATCAAGAACAAATGAATAACAACAACATCAAGTTTCTCGAGATTTCTGTTGTCTCAACATCTGCTTGTTTGTATTTGGGGCTATATGTCCAAATGATGTATATTTTAAAATTATATCCTGATAATTATTTTAATTTGCATATAGAAGAATATGTGTTTCAAGGTAAAGCCCTAGTTCATCAAGCTATATAAGAATACATATGTACATACCCATTTGTTCCATTTTTGGGCCGTATGACCAAATAACAAGGGTTTTAAAGATTAAACTCCACAATAATTTTAACTTAGGGAATAACAGATATGTTATGCCAGGTTTGGTCCCAATCCATCATGTAGGAGCCATTTGTTTTTAGGGCCGTAAGACCAAATGATGATGGCGCAGCAGGTTAAACTGCTGAGCTGCTGAACTTGCTGATCGGTCAGTGGTTCAAATCAGACTAGCAGGGTGGGGTCCCACTGTTAAGCCCAGGTTCTGCCAACCAAGCAGTTTGAAAACATGCAAATGTGAGATCAATAGGTACCACTTCTATGGGAAGGTAACGGCGCTTCACGCAGTCATGATGGCCACATGACCTAGGGGGTGTCTACAAACAATGCCGGCTTTTTGACTTAGAAATGGAGATGAGCACCACCACCCAGAGTCGGACATGACGGGACTTAATGTCAGGGGAAACCTTTATCTTTACTCCCAAACGATGTGAATTTTAATTTAGAGAATAACGGACATGCGGTGCCACGTTTGGTCCCGATCCATCATGCCATGCCTTTGTGGTACAAACAAATATACATGCATTCATTTTTTATATATTATAGATGCTGTATCATTCCTGAGATCAAAGTCACTATGGGGCTGTCGATCAGCCAATTTCCTGTTTTCGTAACAAAAGTATAATTTCCGAGGGCATTCCCACAAATGACTGAATATTAATGGCATATCTGTCTCTACTATTGGGAATGGTCAAAATATTTGTGGTTTACAATCACCTCGCTGTGGTTAATTGGCACAAAAGAAGTATGTTTTGTTTGTATTTGATTCATTGTTGTCCTCTTTTCTTCCCTTCCTCTGAACAGGTGAGCCTTCAGAATCCATGTTCCTGGGGAAAAAAAATTATTTTTATACCCTGCCAACCATCTCCCCTAGGGGACTCGGGGTAGCTTACAAGGGACATGCCCAAGATTACAATTCAACACACATGTAAAACACTTTAACCAATTAAAACATCAGATAAAACAAATAACAACAGAATTGAAAGCAATATAAAAACAATATGGCTGAAAGAAACATAGCTGAAGTACAGATTCAATGAGTGCAATACATTTTTATAGGAGCGCAGAAAAGTGCAACAATACAGTAAACTGGGCAGGAAATACTGTCATAACACATGTTGAGGTAGAACGTATGACAGTGTAAAGTGCGGGCCGGTGTAAAGTGTGGGACAAGAAAGTTACTGGTGAGCTGCTTAGTCAAAAGCCCACCAGAACATCCAGGTTTTTAGTAGATTATGAAAGGAGGACAAGGTGGGAGCCTGTCTGATCTCCCTAGGGAGGGAGTTCCAGAGCCGGGGGCCACAACTGAGAAGGTTCTCTCCCTCATCCCCATCAACTGTGCATGTGACGGCGGGGGGGGGGGGGGGGGGGGGGGGGGGGAAGAGCAGTGCCTCCCCAGAGGATCTCAAGGTACACACTGGTTCATAGGGAAATATGCGATCGCGAAGGTAAGCAGGTCCTGAACCGTTTAGTGATGACCTGCACCTTGAATTGGGACCGGAAACTTATTGGAAGCCAGTGGAGCTGTTTAAACAGGAGGGTTGACCCCTCTCTGTAACCAGCTCCCGTGAGTAGTCTGGCTGCAGATCTCTGGACCAACTGTAGTTTCCGGGCCATCTTCAAGGAGAGCGCATTGCAGTAATCCAACCTAGAGGTGACTAGGGCATGGACTACCATGGCCAGATCAGATTTCACGAGGTACGGGTGCAGCTGGCGCACGAGTTTTGACTGTGCAAAGGCCCTCCCAACCACCGCCAACAACTCAGCATCAAGTGTCAAAGTGGAGTCCAGAAGGACCCCCAAGCTGCGGACCTGTGTCCTCAGAGGGAATGCGACCCTATCGAGCACAGGTAGCCACCCTATGTCCTGATCTGTCCCACGACTGGCCAGGAAGCCCTTTCACGACTCCTGAGCTGGTAATCCTTTAACAAAAGGTTTCACGAAGCCCACTTGCATGGACAATGTCCCCTCTTGAGTAACCAAACTAAACCATCTCCTTGGTTGACTGAGGAGCTGGCAGCAATGAAGCGAATGAAGAGGAGACTAGAGAGCATGTGGCGGAAAAAGCATTTGCTTGGTTCTTCGCAGACAAAGTTGCTTTGACCGTTCTGGCTTTGACACCATATTAACAGTAGTCTCTGAGGATGTAACACGAGCATCTGTTTATCTGATTTTGATGGATTTGTTTCAATCTGTGCAGCTCAAGGATGTGGACAAGATTCTTGGAGAGGCGAGGTCGACCACATGCATCCTAGACCCCTGCCCATCCTGGCTGATAAAGGAAGTCAGAGGAGGGTTTGGTAGCGTGGATGAAGGTGGTGGTTAACGCCTCCCTAAGGGAGGGCACGTTTCCAGCGAGCCTAAAAGAGGCTGTTATAAAGCCGCTGTTGAAGAAACCATCACTTGACCCCACCCAATTAGACAACTTTCGGCCAGTTTTCAATCTCCCCTTTTTGGGCAAAGTCCTTGCAACTCCAGGGATTCTTGGTAGACACTGATTGTCTAGATCCGGCACAGTCTGGCCTTAGGTCGGGACATGGTACCGAAACAGCCTTGGTCGCCTTGGTAGATGATCTACGCCAGGAACTTGACAGGGGGAGTGTGCCCCTGTTGGTTCTGCTGGACCTCTCAGCGGCCTTTGATACCGTTGACCACAGTAGCCTTCTGGGACCCCTCAGGGATATGGGACTTGGGGGTACTGCTTTGCAGTGGCTCCAGTCCTTCCTTGAAGGTCGTTCCCAGAAGGTGCTGCTGGGGGACACCTGCTCATCCTCACAACCATTGACTTGTGGGGTCCCACAGGGTTCTATTCTGTCCCCCATGTTGTTTAACATATACATGAAGCAGCTGGGAGAGATCATCCGGAGTTTTGAGGTCGGGTGTCATCTCTACGCGGATGATGTTCAGCTCTATCATTCCTTCCCACCTGTCACTAAGGAAGCTGTGCAGGTCCTGAGCCAGTGCTTGGCTGCTGTGTTGGTCTGGATGAGGGTGAACAGATTGAAACTTAATCCAGACAAGACAGAGATACTCCTGGTCAGTCGAAAGGCGGAACGGGGGATAGGGTTACAGCCTGTGTTGGATGGGGTTACACTCACACTACTGCCCTGAAGACACAGGTTTGCAATTTGGGAGTGATCCTGGACTAACCACTGAGCCTGGAACCCCAGGTCTCAGTGGTGGCCAGGAGAGCTTTTGCAAAATTACAACTTGTGTGCCCGTTCCTTGGGAAGTCTGACTTGGCCACGGTGGTCCACGCTCTGGTTACATTTTGAATAGATTACTGCAATGCTCTCTGTGTGGGGCTGCCTTTTAAAACTTTTTGGAAGCTTCAATTAGTCCAACGGTCAGCAGCCAGGTTGTTAACTGGAGCAGTGTACAGAGAGCATACTACTCCTTTGTTGCGCCAGCTCCACTGGCTGCCAATTAGCTTCCGGGCACAATTCAAAGTGCTGGTTTTAACCTTTAAAGCCCTGAACGGTTCTGGCCCAGATTACTTGTCCGAACGTATCTCCTGCTATGAACCATCACAAAGCTTAAGATTGTCAGGAGGGGCCCTGCTCTCGATCCCACCACTCTTGCAAACACAGTTGGTGGGGACAAGAGAAAGGAACTTCTCGGCAGTGCCCTCCCCCGCTGTGTGGAACTCCCTCCCTAAGGACATCAGGTTGGCCACCTCCCTCCCTCCTGTCCTTTAGAAGACAACTGAAGACCTGGCTCTGGGGCCAGGTGTTTGACTAGATGATAGTGGCAACAGGAAAAGGAACTTTGAGTTTGCAATATTGGATTCCTGGCTTGATTTTGGTTTTACTGGCATGCTAATATTGTTAAATGAATTTACTGGTTGATTTGTACAATGTTTTAAAAAGTTTTAACTGTTTTAACTGTTATTCTTATGATGTATATGTTGTAAGCATCGCTGATGCCTATGTGAATCCACCCTGAGTCCCCCTTGTGGGGAGAAGGGCGGGATAGAAGCGTATGGAATAAATAAATAAAATTCACCACAGCCTTTCTATTGTGTCAATCCCAACTGGCCGAACCCAACCTCAAACTTCATATATGAACTCCATATCCCAGGACAATAAGACCTAACGGATCTAACGCTTTGGGGCTAGATAAAAAATTATGATTCAAAGGACTAAAACAATAACTCTGATCTGACTTAAGGGCTTAAGCTATTGTTGGGTCGTTTGGCAAACACTGGTTACCCTAATCCTGACAACTAGACATTTCTTCATTTGTTTCCCTGTTGCCCGCCTCCCTTCACCCTCATTGGCTGACTGGCCAAAACAGGGCTCAGGCCACCATTGGCTCTCCTGCTGGCTTGCTGACATCACATCATAACAAGCCAGCTGGGGGAGGGGGAATTTTGAATCTGAAGGCGATAAATATTGTATCTCTCTGCCCAAAGGGCATGTCGATTTTGTTGGCAAGCTACTGCAATCGTCATCCTTTCCAGCTGGAAGGAAATAAAAAACTTGGTGGCTTTCTCTTCAACTTGGCGAGATTTATTCTGGAATAGTGGCTTCTTTTCTCACCAGACAACCCACAATGGCTTGGATCTCGCTATCCACAGCCACTCTAAATTGCTCGACAACAAAAGGAGACAGGTATTCCCTCAGAAGAGGCAATTTTTCCCTCAGAAAAGGCTGAAGCAAAATTCCCTCAGAAGAGGCAATTTTTCCTCAGTAAAGGCCAAAAGTGACAGGTTTCCCTCAGAAAAGGCCAAAGGAGGCAGAATTATCTCAGAAAAGGCCATTTTCCCTCAGAAAAGGCCAAAGGAGGCAGCTATTACCTCTGAAGAGGAAATTTTTTCTTTACAAAAGGCCAAAGGAGACGGCATTCCCTCAGAAAAAGCCAAAGGAGGTAAGTTTTCCCTCAGATAAGGCCAAAGGAGGCAGGTTTTTCCCCAGATGCGATTTTTCCCTCAGAAAAGGCCAATGGAGGCCATTTCCCCTCAGAAATGGTCAAAGGAGGCAGGCATTTCCTTAGGAGAGGCAATTTTTCCCTCAGAAAAAGCTGAAGGAGGCAGAATTTCCTCAGAAGAGGCCATTTTCCCTCAGAAAAGGCCAAAGGAGGCAGTTATTCCCTCAGAAAAGGCAATTTTTCTCTCAGAAAACACAAAAGGAGGTAGGTTCCCTCTGAAAAAGCAAAAGGAAGCAGGTATTCCCTCAAATGAGGCCTGATTTTCCATTAGAAAAGGCCTCTTCTTCCTCAGATAAGGGCAAAGGAGGCAATTTTTCCCGCAGAAAAAGCTAAAGAGGCAGCTTTTCCCTCACTTTGATTAATAGCCTCATAAGCGTGTTCTGGGTCATGGACTAGGTCACATAATGCTAATAAGGCCCTTTGTCGGGTCAGTAATTCAGCAGCTTGAAACTCTTCCTTCAGTTTTGGGAGCATCCTTCGGCCAAAAACAATGGGTGCCTTCATGGGATCGATATCCGAAGGCAACTTGGAAGAAACACGAGGCAGTGCACTCTGATACCAGTTCACACGTGCAATATGCTTGACACGTGTCGATTTAGGTAACAAGTACCCTTTTGACTCCTTTTGACGCATGCTTTGGGCTCCAATTCTATTGTAATAGTCGCATAAGGAGCGCCTAAAACACGGGTGTCTTTGCCCCCGGCTCCAAGCCTACTAGGAGCCGAAACATGGCATTCACACGTGCAAAAGACCCAAACACGTTTCTTTTCTTTTCCGCCTAAAATAGGATGGCTTTGGCTTCCAAACGCATGTCTCTGCTTAAACGGCCAGGCGGCGTTGTGGAACGGGACGCCCGAATTTTCGGACACGTGTCTTCGAAAGCGAATAACTCTCCAAACATGAGCAATCGACTTCTGTAAGGCTAGCGAGGTTGAGGCGGTGGTTGCTAAGCGACATAAGCCCCGCCCTTTTGTGAGCGCGCACGTGTTCCAGGACAGAAGCAACAAGCCCCACCCCCTCTCGAGACTCGATTTGACGTCACAGGGCGCAACACAAAGACACATTATCGCCGCGCAGGCGCAGTCGCGCTTTGACTGAATGAAAAGAAGGGGCTTTGCGGGGAGCCACTCAGGACCCACAGCCCCTCCAAAAAAGCATGCTTTTGAGGGGATTATGGGATTTGTAGTGCCTCCCCAAGCCTAAGTTATGGGTGTTGAAGTCCCATCATGGACGCGCTGGGAGTTACTTTCCCTTCACTGTTTTTCCTCATTTGCATGTCCGGCTCCTCCCCTTCTTCATAGTCGCTCTGTCTTTTGCGCGTGCGCAGAACATACTTGAAGGGCTGTTCTGTTGGACAGAAGCCCCTTTGCCTTTTCCTCGTTTGCATATCCGGCCCCGCCCCTTTCGTCCCCTCTTTTTCGCGCGCGTGCGCACAAAACCGTTCCTGTCTGTGTTTTCCTGTTGCCAAGGCAACCGAAAAGGGGTGGGGTCCAGAGGGGCCAGGGAGCCACGTGACTTCTTTCTTCCTAATCCAGGAAAGCGAGGGGAAAGGGGTACCTCAAAGGCCATCTAGCCTCTCCCCAGAGAAGCCATGAAGCCCCCTTTCCTCCCAGTCGGCAGGGACAGGACCCTCACCTGCTTCCCAAAGGTCTGATTAGGATTATTCTTATTATATTATATTACTTTTGTATTACATTATATATTGTTATTGTATTATATTAGCAGTATATTTTATTATAATATTATTATTATAACTGCACTCTATGCAGTCATGCTGGCCACATGACCTTGGAGGCGTCTATGGACAATGCTGGCTCTTCGGCTTAGAAATTGAGATGAGCACCAACCCCCAGAGTCGGACACGACTGGACAATGTCAGCGGAAACCCTTTACCTTTTATTACATTATAAATTATTAGTATATTAGTATTATATTATATTACTATTTTATGACATTATATATTATTATTAGTATAATATTTTATTTTCTTAGTCTATTCTATTATTGTTATTCTATTCTATATTGTATTCTTATATTATTATACTGTGTTTTTATATTATATCTTATCTTACTATAATATAAAAAACAAGGGTTAAATCTTTTGCCGGCAGGACTCCTGACCGATAGGTTGATGGTTTGAATCTGGGGGGCAGGATGAGCTCCCATCTCAGCTCTAGCTTCCCATGCAGGGACATGAGAGAAGCCTCCCACAGGATGGTAAAAACATCAAACATCGAGACATCCCCTGGGCAACATCCTTGCAGACAGCCAATTCTCTCTCACCAGTAGCGACTTGCAGTTTCTCAAGTCACTCCTGACACAAATAAAAAATATATGATATAATATTATTATTATTAGTAGTAGTAGTACTATATTGTATTTTTATATTATTGTATTATGCTATATTATTACACTAATATATGATTTTATTATATTTTTTTATATTAAGCTATATCATTATTACATTGCTATATGATATTATTATACTGTTATTTTTAGTAATGTATTATTATACTATGTTATATTCTTACCTTATAACAACTTCTTCTTATGCTATATTATATTATTATTATTAGTAGTAGTAGTAGTAGTAGTAGTATCGTCATCATCATCATCATCATTGTGTTTCCTGTCTTACACCCCTATTACATCATCATCATCATCATCATTATATGTGTCTTCCCTGTTTGGCACAAATCTGTAGGTGAATACAGCACTGAATGAAACATGCAGAATAATCACAGGACATCTCAAACCTACACCAACGAGCTGGTATTGCACCCCCCCCCCCCCCCCCCGATGTGCAACAGGAAGTTGCTGCTAACTGTGAGAGAAATAAGGCTGAACACTGTGAAAGCCATCTTCTCCATGGCTACCTGCCTCCTCCCAGTAGACTCACATCAAGGGAAAGCTTCATGAGAATCACCACTCCTCTTGGTGTTCCCCAGCAACAGCAAGAGTATCTCTATGGGCAGCTAAACCAGGAAATCCCAACTGGATGGCCTCCCACGAGGGTCTTCCTTCAGGGACAAATCAAGAATGGGCAACTTGGAAGTCCTTGAACAGACTCAGAAGCGGAGTGGGCAGATCAAAAGGCAACCTGGCAAAATGGCACTACCTAAAAGAATCCCACACCTTGTGTGACTGTGGAGCAGAACAGACAACTCCGCATGTGTATGCTTGTCCACTGTGCCCTGATTCATGGTCAGAGGAAGAATTGTTTAAAGCTACAGGCAATGCAGTCGCTGTTGCCTGGTTTTGATCAAAAATTAGTTAGCTGCATGTGTTCCCTCTAGTTTTACCAGTTTTACATACACAATGCTTTTGACACAAAATAAATAAAATATGTTCTATTGATATATCAGATCATGCCATTATATTATTATTATTGCATTATAAGGTTATATTATATTATTATATGCTGCTAGTCGCCGGGAAGTAGCAACCAATAGTGAAAGGACCAAGGCAGTGACATCTCCAGCCCATCCCCTGTTTGAATATCAGCCAGCATGCCAATGACTTAAATCAAGAAATAATTTTCTAAGATCTACAGAGACACTCGCTGAAACATCTCAGCAAGCGAGAGTCCAAAAGTGGCAGGCTAAAACCCATAACCTCAATCAATGGCTGATACCAAATTAGAGACTCCTTCCTGGTCACACAGAAAACTGGGCAACTTGGAAGTTGCTGAACAGACTGTGCTCTGGCCCCACGAGATGCAGAGCCAGCCATAAGAAATGGGGCCCCAAAGTGGAATCCACGACATGCGAGTGCGGAGAAGAGCAAACCACTGACCACCTACTGCAATGCAACCTGAGCCCTGCCACATGCACAATGGAGGACCTTCTTACAGCAACACCAGAAGCACTCCAAGCTACTGGTCAAGGAAGTTGAGCATAATGCCAAGTTTGCAAACATTGTTTTTTTGTTTGGTTGTTTTTAATGCAATACAACTGTTTGGTTTGTTCCTGACATAATAAATAAGTAAATAAATATTATTATATTATTATATTTGTATATTAATTTATTCTTATTATTATTATCATTGTGTTTCCAGGCATACAGCCCTGAGGCCTGCCTCCAATTCAAAGATGGCTTCCATGAACAGGTGAGACTCACCTGCCAGAGGAAGAACACCAATACATCCGGGTGTGTTTTCATTATTATTATTATTATTATTATTATTATTATTATTATTATTAATTTAATTCACACAAAATATTTGTGTGCATTGAACCATCAGAAGGCAAATGCATTTATATGAGAATAATAAATAATAATAAATGTCTATACTAAAATAACAATATTACATTCAGGTGATAATATGAAAATAATGACAAATTTCTATACTAAAATAGTAATACATATAATAAAGTGATATAATATAATAATACAATAATAATAGTATATAATATAATAAACATTCTTATAATAGTACTGTAGTAATAATAATAATGTATATATAATACTGAAATTATTATGTAATAATAATAGAAATAAATGTATAATATAATACTACCAATACATTTATATAATAAAATTATACATTCTTATAATATACTAAAATAATAATAAGTTTATATAAGAATACTAACATTATTATATATAATAATGAATTTATATGATCATAATAACAGTAAATGTATATTATAAAATAATAATACATTCTTATACTGTAATACTATAATAATAAATTCATCATAAACTTATAATGTTATAATATCTATGATATAATATAATAATCACAATAAATGAATGTAATACTATAAGAATAAATTGTATACAATCATATTTATATAATATAACAATGACTATAGATTGTTTCATTGGATCCCTTATTATTATTATTATTATTATTTTCTGTGTGTTTTTTTCTGATAGGCTGGGAGTCTGCAAAGTGGTCATAGTGGGAGACCTTTGTGTTGGGAAAACCAGCCTCATCAACAGGTAAATCATAAGGGAGGGGTCCCCTAGAGGCCATCCAGACTGACCCCTTGCAGAGAATGTAATAATCACGTTTCATAATAACAAAATCTTCTTTATTTCAGGTTCTGCAAGAACGCTTTTGACCGGAGCTATAAGGCTACAATTGGAGTAGATTTCGAGATCGAACGCTTCGAAGTCTTAGGGATCCCCTACAGTCTCCAGATGTAGAGAATTACTTAAATTATTGGTCTTTTTCTTTTTCTTCTTTTGTATTTTATTATTATTATTATTTTGTATTTTATTGTAATTATTATATTTATTATAATCCTTATTATATTTATATGATTATGTTTATTATTATCATTTGGTGATTTATTATTCTTATTTTGTATTTTATTGTACTGATTGTTATATTGATGTATTGTTTTATTATTGTTATTGTTTTATTATTTTGTATTTTATTCTTGTTTCAATAATTATATTTTATTCTTATTATGTATTTTATTACTATATTTATTATTATCATTTTGTGCTTTATTATTGTGATTATATTTATTATTATCCTTATTAATTTTTATTTTATTATTATCATTGTTTTATTGTGATTATTATATTTATCATTATCCTTATTATTTTTATTGTTATTATTTTGTATTTTATTCTTGTTATGGTGATCATATTATCCTTATTATGTATTTTATTATTTTATTTATTATTATAATTTTTGTTTTATTTATTGTTGTGATGATTATATTTATTATTATCCTTATTATGTTATATATTAGTATTTATAATACTGTTATTCTGAATTTATTTTTATATTATATTATCTATGGACGCTGTATCTGGTAATATTTCTATTATTATTATTATTATTATTATTATTATTATTATTATTCCTTTTGTCTCTGTGACTTTTGAACGATAAATCGCCATTAGCAGCTCAGGTCTTGCATGTCATGTCCTTATTTATTTATTTCTGTATTATTTATTTATTTTGTCGAAAGCTTTCATGGCCGGAATCACTGGGTTGTTGTAGGTTTTTCGGGCTATATGGCCATGTTCTAGAGGCATTCTCTCCTGATGTTTCGCCTGCATCTATGGCAAGCATCCTCAGAGGTAGTGAGGTACCTCTGAGGATGCTTGCCACAGATGCAGGCAAAACGTCAGGAGAGAATGCCTCTAGAATATGGCCATATAGCCCGAAAAAACCTACAACAACCCACTATTTCTGTATTATTTTATGATACTACATTTGTAATTTTAATTATTCTTTGCTTTCAGATGGGACACAGCTGGACAGGAGAAGTTCAAGTGCATTGCTTCAGCTTATTACAGAGGAGCAGAAGGTAAAAAATGGCAGCAGGAAATGATGTCACTGCCCTTTTCAAAATCCTACATAATAATAATAATAATAATAATAATAATAATAATAATAATTTTTAATTATTACAGTCATTGTAACTGTCTTCGATCTGGCTGATATCCAGACTTTGGGTCACACCAAGTAAGTCCTATTTTTTTTTCCATTTATAATATTATATCTATCTGTCTATCTATATGCTGTAACTATAAAACATGTCAGATACACACACACACACACACACACACACACTAGCTTGCGGACCCGGCGGTGCCCGGGTTATTTGAGAAAGACATTGTGTGCCAAGGTTGGTCTTTATCAGTTATTTATGTGGCTCACAGTGGTCTCAAGAAGTTATTGAAGGTACTGCAAGTCCCATCGTCGATGTTCCGTCCACCTCCAAACAGCACCAGGATGTAGAAGGGGTCATGGGGCTCTGTGTGCCAAGTTTGGTCTTGTTCAGTCATTGGATGAGGGTCACAGCCGTCATGGGAAGTGAGTGGAGGTCCTTCAAGTCCCATCATCCATGGTCTGCCCTTTTCCAAACTGCAGTAGGATGTAGAGTGGATTATGGGGGCTCTGTGTGCCAAGTTTGGTCTTGATCAGTCATTGGATGAGGGTTGCAGCAGTCTCAGAAAGTCCCATCATCCATCATCCATAATCCGTCCTCCCCAAACCACACCAGAATGTTGAGTTGGCCATGGGGGCTCTCTGTGCCAAGATTGGTCTTTATTGTTAATTGGATGAGTGTTGCTGTGGTCTCAGGAAGTGAGTGAAGGTACTGCAAGTCTCATCATCCGTGGTCCATCCTCCTCCAAAACTGCACCAGGATGTAGAGTGGGCCATGGGTGCTCTGTGTGTCACGTTTGGTCTTGATCAGTCATTAATGAGGGTCGCAGTGGTCTCGGGAAGTGAGTGGAGGTACTTCAAGTCCCATAATCCATGGCCCGCCCTCCTCCGAACTGCAGTAGGATGTAGGGGTCACAGGGGCTCTGTGTGCCAAGTTTGTTTTTTATCGGTCTTTGTTGGGGGCCACAGTGCTCTGTGGGCTCTGAAGGGTGTGAAAGAACTACAGATCCCATCATCCATTTTCCATCCTCCCCCAAACCTCACCAGGACATAAAGGGGGTCATGGGGGTTATGTGTGTCAAGTTTGGTCCAGGTCTGACACCTGTGCTGGTCACAGTTGCTTGTGAAACTGGCAGGCAATCAGAAAGCTGCCACATACATACACCCCCCACATACAAACATTCACTTTTATTATATACTAGCTTGGGGACCCGGTGCTGCCCGGGTCATTTGAGAAAGGCATTGTGTGCCAAGGTTGGTCTTTATCAGTTATTTATGTAGCTCGCAGTGGTCTCAGGAAGTCAGTGAAGGTACTGTGAGTCCTATCGTCCATGGTCCATCGTCCTCCAAACAGCATCAGGGTGTAGAGTGGGTCATGGGGCCAAGTTGGCTCTTGATCAGTCATTGGATGAAGGTCGCAGTGGTCTCAGAAAGAGAGTGAAAATAATCAAGTCCCATCATATTTGGCCCATCCTTCTCCAAACTGCACCAGCATGTAGAATGGGTCATGGGGGCTCTGTGTGCCAAGTTTAGTCGTGATGAGTCATTGGATGAGGGTTGCAGCAGTCTCGTGAAGTCAGTGGAGGTACTTCAAGTCCCATCATCCATAGTCCATCCTCTTCGAATATGCACCAGGATGTAGAATGGGTCATGGGGGCTCTGTGTGCCAAGTGCGTTCTTGATCAGTGAAGGTACTGGAAGTACCATAATCCGTAGTCCATCCTCCCCCTAAGCGCACCAGAATGTTGAGTTGGCCACGGGGGCTCTCTATGTCAAGTTTGGTCTTCATTGGTAATTGGATGAGTGTCACTGTGGTCTCAGGAAGTGAGTGAAGGTATTTCAGATCCCATCATCCGTGGTCCATCCTCCTCCTAACAGCACCATTATGTAGAGTGGGTCATGAGGGCTCTGTGTGCCAAGTTTGGTCTTGATCAGTCATTTGATGAGGGTTGCAGTGGTCTCAGGAAGTGAGTGGAGGTACCTCAAGTCTCATCATCCATGGTCCGCCCTACTCCAAACTGCAGCAGGATGTAAACTGGGTCATGGGGGCTCAGTGTGCCAAGTTTGGTCTTTATCTGTCTTTGTTGGGGGCCACAGTGGTCTGTGGGAACCGAAGGGTTTGAAAGTACTACAAATCCCATCCTTTGTCCGTCCTCCCCCAAACCACACCAGGACGTAAAGAGTGTCATGGGGGTTATGTGTGCCAAGTTTGGTCCAGGTCCGTCAACCAGGCTGGTCACAGTGGCCTCTGAAAGTGGCAGCCAATCAGAAAGCGACCACATACATACAAACATACCCTCCAAGGTGTTTTGGACTTCAACTCCCACCATTCCTGACAGCCTCAGGCCTTTTCCTTTCCCCTCTCAGCCACTTAAGAATGTTAGAATGTTGAGGCTGGCCAATCAGAAACCATATGCAAATTATACCACAGTGGTCTGTGGGTGCCCAAGCGTTTTAATGTACTACAAATCCCATAATCCGTGGTCTACCACCCCTAAACCGCACCAGGATGTAGAGTGGGCCATGGGGGCTCTATGTGCCAACTTTGGTCTTGATCAGTCATTGGATGAGGGTCGCAGCAGTCTCGGGAAGTGAGTCGAGGCACTTCAAGTCCCAACATCCATGGTCTGCCCTCCTCCAAACTCCAGGAGGATGTAAAGGGGGTTATGGGGGCTCTGTGTACCAAGTTTGGTCTTTATAGGTGTTTGTTAGTGGCCGCAGTGATCTGTCGAATCCAAAGGGTTTGAAAGTACTACAAATCTGATCATCCTTTGTCTGACCTCTCCCAAACCTCACCAAGATGTAAAGGGGGTCATGGAGGTTATGTGTGCCAAGTTTGGTCCTGGTTCGTCACCCGTGCTGGTCACAGTTGCCTGTGAAAGTGACAGCCAATCAGAAAGTTACCACATACACCTACCTTCGCCCTCCGCATACATACATACAAACACTCCCTTTTATTTTATACGAGCTTGGGGACCTGGCGCTGCCCGGGTTATTTGAGAAAGTGGGTAATGGCGGTTCTTTATGGCTAGTTTCTTCTTGATCAGTCATTGGATGAGGGTCGCAGTGGTTTTAGTAACTGAGTTACAATACTGCAAGTCACATCATTCATGGTCCATCCTCCTTCAAACTGCAGCAGGATGTAGAGTGGGTCATGGGGGCTGTGTATGTCAAATTTGGCCTTGATCGGTCATTGGATGAGGGTCGCAGTGGTTTCAGTAAGTCAGTGAAGGTACTGCAAGTCCCATCATCCATGGTCCACCCTCCTCCAAACTGCAGCAGGATGTAGAGTGGGTCATGGGGGCTCTGTGTGTCAAGTTTGGTCGTGATTAGTCATTGGTGTGAGTCATGGTGCTCTAAGGTAGTGAGTTAAAGTAGGGCAACTCCCATCATCCATGATCCATCCTCCCTCAAACTGCACCCAGATGTAGAGTGGGTCTTGGGTGGGTGGGTGGGTGGGGGGTCCGTGTGCCAAGTTTGGTCTTGTTTTGTCATTGTTGGGGGCCACAAGGTTTTGGACTTCAACTCCCACCATTCTCGAAAGCCTCAGACTCTTACCTTTTCCCTCTCAGCCACTTCAGAATGTTAGAATGTTGGGGCTGGCCTATCAGAAACCATATGCAAATTATACCACAGTGGGAACCGATCGGAATGTTAGAATGTTGAGGCGAGCCAATCAGAAACCATATGCAAATTATACTACAGCGGCAACCAATCAGAATGTTGGATTGTTGAGGCTGGCCAATCAGATACCATATGCAAATTGTACCATAGTGGCAGCCAATCAGAACGCTGCCACATACACCTGCCTCCACATACAAACATTCACTTTTATTATATACTAGCTTGGGGACCTGACGCTGCCTGGGTTATTTGAGATGGGCATTGTTTATCTGTTCTGTAGTTTTACTCTAGATCCAGTGTCTGGTGTTTCATTGGGTGCAGGTGAACTACAACTCGCATATGCAAGTCCCATCATCCATGGTCCATCCTCTTCCACACTGCACCAGGATGGTGGGTGGGTCATGGGGGCTCTGTGTGTCAAGTTTCTTCTTGAACGGTCAGTGGTGTGGGTCGCAGTGGTCTCAGGAAGTGAGTGAAGGCACTGCAAGTCCCATCATCCATGGTGCATCGTCCCACAAACCACACCAGGATTTAGAGTGGGTCATGGGGGCTCTGTATGCCAAGTTCGATCTTGCTCAGTCATTGGTGAGGGTCACAGTGGTCTCATGAAGTGTGTGAAGGTACTGCAGGTTCCATCATCCTTGGCGAATCCTCCTTCAAACCACAACAGGATGTAGAGTGGATCATGGTGGCTCTCTGTGCCAAGTTTGGTCTAGATCAGTCATTGCTGAGGGTTGCAGTGGTTTCAGCAAGTGTGTTTAGATACTGCAAGTCCCATCATCCATGGTTCATCCCACTCCAAACTGCACCAAGATGTAGAGTGGGTCATGGGGGCTCTGTGTGCCAGATTTGGTCTTTATCTGTCTTTGTTGGGGGGCACAGTGGTCTGTGGGAACCGAAGGGCTTGAAAGTACTAAAAATCCCATCATTCATTTTCCGTCCTCCCCTAAACCTCACCAGGATATAAAGGAGGTCATGGGGGTTCTGTATGCCAAGTTTGATTTTGATCAGTCATTGGATGAGGGTCACAGCGGTCTCAGAAAGTGAGTGATGGTACTGCAAGTCCCATTATCCATGGTCTATGCTCCTCCAAACTGCAGTACGATGCAGAGTGGGTCATGCAGGCTCTGTGTGCCAAGTTTGGTCTTGATCAGTCATTGAATGAGTGTCACACTGGTCACAGAAAATGAGTGAAGGTACTGGAAATGCCTCAGGCCCTTTCCTTTCCCCTCTCATTCACTTGAGAATGTTAGAATGTTGAGGCTGGCCAATCAGAGACCATATGCAATTTTTTCCACAGTGGCAACCAATCAGAAAGCTGCCACAGCCTCAGGCCCTTTTTTCCCTCTCTCTGTCACCTCAGAATGTTGGAATGTTGAGGCTGGCCAATCAGAGACCATATGCAAATTGTACCACAGTGCCTGCCAATCGGAAAGCTGTCACATACACCTCCCTCCTGTCCTCCCTCCACATACAAACATTTACTTTTATTATATACTACCTTGGGGACCCAGCGCTGCCTGGGTTATTAGAGAAAGTGGGTAATGGGGGTTCTGTATGGCAAGTTTGGTCTTTATTGGTCATTGGATGATGGTTGCATTGTTTTCGGGAAGTGAATGAAGGTTCTGCAAGTCCCATCATCCATAGTCCATCTTCCTTCAAACTGCAGCAGGATGTAGAGTGCGTCATGGGGGCTCTGTGTGGCAAGTTTGGTTTTTATTAAATAAAATAATAATTAAATAATATTCTTTTAAATAATGTGGAGGACATTGGCAGGGCTCTTGGACATGTTCATGGCACTCACTATAACCTGCAATGTCACTGGTGGGAGGGCCATTGGTGGCTCCTCAGCACTTTGCGTTAAAGCTGTTTGTGGAGGCGGGAGGCTGTCTGTGTAAGTGGGACACTCGCCACATACAAATTTTCATTTTATTATGTGTATAGGTAGATATGTAGATATAATTTTCCATTTTTTAATCAGAAATATCCTCTTCTTTTATTCATATATATATATATATATATATATATATATATATATATATATGCGCATACACACACACATGTATATTATTAGATTATTGCATATATATATATTTATATAAATAAATCCCCTTTTTTCTGTTCATATACACAGTAGAGTCTCGCATATCCAACATAACGTTGGATAAGCGAAAATATATATGTGTTTGTGTGTGTATATAATATTATCTATATTATATATATATAAAATTTCCAATTTTTAACAAAAAATGAATCTCTTCATCCTTCTGTTCTTATATATATCTTAACTGCTGATGAATCATTAACTGTAAAAACCAGAAGGATAAATGTTAATTTTATTTTAATCAGTGAATCATGAACATATGGTGCGGTTTCCCATTTCCTCCTTCTTTTTCTATCTATCTCCCTTGTAATTTCAATTTCTGGAGTAATAACATTGAAAATGGTCTAAAATAACCTTTTGATCCTTCTCAAAACGGCTGTCAAATGACATCAGTGTGTCGGATTTTGCATATTTTAAGTTGTATTGTAATACTTTTTAATTGTGGGCTGCTTTGAGAGAGAAGGTGGGATATAAATAAACATAATAAACATAATAATAAACATAATAATAAACATAATAATAATAATAATAATAATAATAATAATAGTAATTTTGGTCCGTCTCAAAATGCTAGCCGTCTCCATCTTTTTTCCCCCAGGCAATGGCTGGAGGATGCATTGAATGAAAACAGCCCTGGGTCCAGCTTCATCTTTCTAGTTGGAACAAAGAAGGATTTAGTGGTAAAGATGGCCCTCTTTTTGCTCTCAAAATGGTGACAGGAAGTGAACCAAATGCCCCTCAGTTTCCCTCACAAAAGGGCAACAGGAAGTGACCATTTAACTATTTGGCTTCTTTTCCAGTCGGAGGCCGAATGCCGCCGAACAGAAGCGGATGCCATAAAAATGGCCAATGAAATGGAGGCTGAGTATTGGTCGGTTTCATCCAAAACAGGTCAGTCTCGAAGCTATAAACAAACAACTATGACAACAACAAATGTATCAACAGCAACAACTGATCCAGTGCTTCATCCTCTTCTTTGGTCCTTCTCAAATCGGCCACCGTTCTTTCCTTTCAGGGGAAAACGTCCAGGCCTTCTTCTCTCGGGTGGCGGCCCTGGCCTTCGAGAAATCTCTTTTGATGGAATGGGAGAAAAATGGCCGTCAAGGAGCCAGGATCGGGAGCCTCATCAGTACGTCACCATTATATATTAGATTATAATATATATATGATCCTTATATATATTGGATTGCTATATATACTATATTATTAGATTATTTTATATACTACATGATTATATATATTAAATTATTATATATTAGATTATTACATATATTAGATTCTTATTATACTAGATTGCTATTTGTACTAGATTGTTATATACTAGATGACATTATTTGATATGCTACATGATTATATTAAATTATATGACAAATATTTTATATATTAATTACATATAAGATTTATTTATATACTTCTGTATTATATTATTACATATAGCATTATATATACCTATATTACATATATATGTAATAACCTTATATATTAGGTTATTACATATAAGATTATATACATATATATTATTATGTATATTAGGTTACTTTTATATTAGATTATTACATATAACATATACACACATATATAAAATTATTATATATATATTAGGTTACTTATATATTAGATTACATATAACATATATATATACACAAATACACATATATAAGATTATTATATATATTGGGTTGCTTATATATTATATTATTACATATAAGATAATATATTAGATTATTGTGTATATTATTGTATATATCTCTCATATATATATATATATATATGCACACACAAATACATAAATATATTAGACACAGTGCAAACAGATTGGTAAATGACAAATAAATTATATATATATATATATATATATATGATGTACAACAATATATAATAATATTATACAAATTGTATGGGATTTGCAATAATGTATAATAATAATATATCATTGTATATTATATATATGTGTGCACATTAGTGATACTTACAATAATGTATATTACATAAATTAATATAGTATATTTATTATAGACATGTATAATGCAGTCATGTTCAATGGAATTTATATATATTACATACATACAACAATATATTATATTAATTGTTCTCTCTATATATATTTACAGAGATACAGAAATATATAAAATATGTATATCTATATACAAGAGATAAATCATATATTATATATCATGTACAGTAATATTATATATATATATATCTCAGAGATAAAACATATAAAATATTGTGTGTGTGTGTGTGTATATATATATATATAAACATATGTGGTCATTATCATAAAAGCCACCATTATATTTTCTCCTTCTTTAATTACAGAAATTGAAAGAAACTCATCTGAGATCAGTGATCAGTCCAAGTCAAACTGTTGCTAGCGGTCACTGCCTCACTATGGGATCTGTAATCCTCAATGTATATGATTGTATGGGATCTGTAGTCCCTTCATTAATGAAAAAGTATTTGTATTGTTTTTAAAATATATGTGTTTGTGTCATTAATTATGAGAATTAAAATGCTTGAGTTTTGGAATTCTTTGAGTCTTTATTAGAGAGAGAAGAAAGAAAGAAAGAAAGAAAGAAAGAAAGAAAGAAAGAAAATTAGGAAGGAAGGGAAAAGAAATAAAGAACAAAGGAGAAATATAACGAGAGGAAAGGAGCAGGGAAGGGAGAAAGAAGGAAGAAGAAAGAGAAAAATAAAAGGAAGAGGAAGAAAGATGGAAGAAATGAAGTAGGAAGGAAGGAATGAGAAAGAGAAAAAAAGAAAGAAAAGGGAAGGAAGAAAAAGAGGGGAAATGGAAGAAAAGAAGAAAAGGAAGAAAGAAAGAGAAGGAAGAAAAATGAGAAAAGAAGAAAGGAAGGAAGGAGAAAGAAAAAAGGAAGGAGGCAAGGAAAGAAAATATGAAGAAGAAAGAGAGAGAGAAAAGGAGGAAAGGAAGAAAAAATAAATGGAAGAAAGAAAAGAGGAAGGAAGGAAGTAACTGGAAAGGAAGGAAGGAGAAAGAGAAAAAGAAAAAAAGGGCAAAGACAGAAATGCACTCTACACCTGCTCAGATGTACAGTGGGGCCTCGAGGGCCATCAATCTAATTATATCAGTTATATTATATTGATTTCTTGATGTAGGAAAAGAGGAATTCTGAAAGAGGGAGAAAGAACGAATAAAGGAGAGAGAGACGGTGAGAGAGAGAAAAGTTAGGGGAAGGAGTGAAGAGAAAGAGAGAAAAGAAAGACATGAGACAATGGTGGCCTTATGGTCCTGAAAGAACAAACGAATAAAAGCAAAGGAAGGAAGGAAGGAAGGAAGGAAGGAAGGAAGGAAGGAAGGAAGGAAGGAAGGAAAGAAGGAAGGAAGGAAAAATGGAAAGAAGGGAATGAGGAAGAAAGAGAGAGAAGAAGAGAAAGCGGAAGGTGAAAGAGAAAGGAATGAGGAAGGAAGGAAGAGTAGGAGAAAGAAAGAAGAAAGCAATGAGGAAGGAAAAGAAAGAGCAGAAAGCAATAAGGAAAAATAGAATGAAAAAGAGAAAAGGGAATGAGATAGAAAGAAAAAGCTAGAAGGAGAAAGAAGAAATAAAAGAAGGAAAAGAGAAGGGAATGAAGGAGAAAAAGAAAAGAAAGAGAAAGCAAGCAAGAAAGAGAAAGATACTCTGCACATCTGAAAGAGAAAAGGAAGGCAAAGCAAAAGACCTGGAAAGAGACAGCGATGGAAGGAAAGAAAGGAGGAGAAAGAGAGAAAGAAATGAGTGAAAGAGAAAGTTGTGAGAAAGAGATAGAGAAGGGCCCTCTGCACCTGCTCAGAGGCACAACAGTGGCCTTATGGTCCATCTGGTCCCCCCTTTTCCATATTAGAAGGCACATCAGAAAGAGAGAAAGAATGAACGAAGATGAAAGAAAGAAAGACGAGAATAAGGAAGGGAAAGAGAAACAGAAGGAGAACGAAAGAAAGATGAAAGGAGGAGAAAGAAAGCAATGAGGAAGAAACAGAAAGAGAAAGGAACAAGGGAGAAAAAAAATAGAAGAAGAAGGGAATACGGAAGGAAGAGTGGAAGAGGAGAAAGGAGAATGAAGGAGAAAGAAAGGAAATGAGGAAGAAGGAGATGGGAGATGGAGAAAAAAAGCGAACGGCACTGCACATGCTCAGAAGTGTGTGTGTGTGCGTGTGTGTGTGTATATATCCATCCCAACATATATATATATATATATATATATCCCAACATTCCTCCCTTTTTGCATCAGGAAAGGAAAGAAGTACTCTGAAAGAGACAGAGAAGGAAGGAAGGAAGGAAAGAAAGAAAGAAAAAGAGATAAAGAACGGAGAGAGTGACAGCCCTTCCTTTTTTAAGGGGCCTCTGTCTCTTTAAGGCCTCCGCCCCTCCTCCCTCCCACAGAAGAAGGGAAGGAGAAAAGGAGGAGGGCCTGCAGCCGGAGGTAGGAAGGAAAGAAGGAAGGAAGGAGAGAAGGAGGAAAAAAGACAAGGCGGAGGAGAAGGATAAGCAGAACCAATTGTATTGGGGGATTTTAAGGGGACCCCTGTGTTGGGAATAATGGGATAAAAGGGGAAGAAGGCAGGAGAGGAGAGGAAAGGGGGGAAGTGAGCCTTTGAAAGGCAAAGGAGTAGGCTCTTCCTTTGTTCCTTTTGGGGAGGAAGAGGAAGGAATAAAAGAGGAGGAGAGGAGGAGGAAGAAGGGAAGAACAAGGACTGACAGAGGAGGAGGAGGAGGAGGAGTGCCTTTCTCTATTTGATTTGGTATTGACCCTTCTTCATCCTCAGAGAGAGAGAGAGACTGGAGATAGATAGATAGACGAGAGATAGATATAAGAAATAGATGCATGAGATAGATACACGTGATAGATATATGAGAGATAGGTATGAGATAGATATACAAGAGATACATATGAGAAATAGATATGCGAAATAATTACGCGAGACAGATATATGAGAGATAAGATAGATTGAGGACCACAGCTAGCTGCCCATCACTTGTTTTGCATTCTTCTTCATGCTCATCTTCGTCATCCTCTGAGACCAGAGGACGAAAGATAGAAAGAAGAGGAAGAGGACAAGTGTCTCTTCATCTCTAATTGGGGAACTGTTTTGTATTGGATCGTTCCTCCTCATCATCATCTTCATCATCCCCTCTCATTTCTCAGGAGGATGGATAGGTAGATAGGTCCCTTCTTCTTCTTCATCCTCATCTTCATCTTCTGAGACCAAAAGCAGAGGAGGAGGAAAAAAGACAGAGAGACAGAGGACTACAGTCATCTCTGTTTTTTATTAGTTCTCCTATTCATCATAATCTCCATCATCCTCTGAAACCCTGCTATAGGAGGAAGGGAGAGCGGGAGACAGAGGGAGGGAAAGGGAGGAGGACCACAAGTATCTCTCCATCTGATGGAGATCCTGTCTTTGTCTTCATCATCCTCTGAGGAGGAGGAAGGAAGGAGGTTAAGGTAGGCAACTGACTCTCCATCCATCTCTGATGCCTTGTGCTGGTCTCCTGTTCTTCCTCATCCTCAGTCCTATCCTCCTCTAAGCCTTCCTTCCATTCATCCATCCATTATGGTGGACCCGGTGGGCTTCGCAGAGGCCTGGCGGGCCCAGTTCTCGGACACGGAGCCCCCCTCGATGGCACTGCGGTCGGTGTCCGAAATTGAGTCTGAACTGGAGCGTTGCAAGGCCTCGATCCGGCGCCTGGAGGTGGAGGTCAACAAGGAGCGCTTCCGCATGATCTACCTGCAGACCCTCCTGGCGCGAGAGAGAAAGAGCTACGACCGGCAGCGGTGGGGGTTCCACCGACAGCGGAACGAAGGTGACGATGATGACGATGACGACGAGGGTGGTGGGGATGTGCCATCTCAAGCTGAGAGCAAGAAAGCCAAAGGGGGCCGGATCGGAAACCGGGGCTGGCTTCGGAGCCTCTCCGACCGAGACGATTCAGTCAGCAGTGTTGCGGAATATTGCTCTAAACCAGGTGCTGATGGGGAAGTTGTCAATGTATTAGAGTATCCCTCACATAAAAAACCATTGAGGAAAGAGCGTGAGGTTAGTGGAATCGATCATGAAGTCGTTGATGTATCAGAGCATCCCTCCCATAAGAAACCAATAGGGAAAGAGCGTGAGGGTGGTGGAGTCGACCATGATGTTGTCAATGTATCAGAGTATCCCTCTCATAAGAAACCAATGGTGACCCATCGTGCTGAGAAGACCCCTCCGGATGCCTTCTATGTCAACTTGGAGTACCACCATGAGAAGGGCCTGGTCAAGGTCAATGACAAGGAGGTCTCGGATCGCATCAGCTCACTGGGTAGCCAAGCCATGCGGATGGACGCTCGGAGAAAGCCGCCACCACCTTCAAGGGGCCGGTCAGCGGATGACGATTATGAGGACGCTGAGCTCAACCCACGCTTCCTCAGGGACAACTTGTTGGCGGATGCCAACGGTCAGGGCAACATCCAACCCTATCACAGTGTCTATGTCGGTGGCATTATGACCCCTGACCCTGCGGCCGATGGGAAGCCGGCATTGACGTGGCCACTGCGTTCCTATTCGCCAGTCGGCAGCGGTGGCGGCTACACACCGGACTGCAGCTCTAATGAGAATCTGACGTCCAGTGAGGAGGACTTCTCCTCAGGCCACTCCAGCCACGTGTCGCCCAGCCCCACGGCTGCTGGGCCCTCGCGCCTCTACAAGGCCCGCTCGCCCTCCCAGAATTCCCTGCAATCGCTCGACAGCAGCAGCAGCCCACCCACGCCGCAGTCGCAGAAGAGGCACCGACCACATGGTGGACTACCACGGCAGGGCCCCGTCATTGTTTCTGAGGCCACCATTGTCGGGGTGCGGAAGTCCGGGCAAATATGGCCACCCGAGGCAGAAGGGGCAGCCCACGGAGGATGTTTCCATGGAGACACAGGTGAGAATCCCCCCACAACTTGTTATTTCATTCAGTCTTGCCTCCTTTTGGTTTGGGGGTGCATTGTGGTCTTCCCTTTTGCTAAACACTGGTGTTGAAGGGAGATTTGGGGGTTCATTCTGGAAAACAGAGGGATGGGAGTCACACTGGTGTCAAGGGAAGAAACGGGAATTCATTAAGGTCTCCCACTGGTGCAACAAAGCAAAGTCACAAGTGTCAAGGTGAGATTGTGCTCGCCCCCTTGTGCAAAACACTGGGGAAATGGGTCACACTGGTGTCAAGGAGAGATTTGTGGGGCTTGTTAGGGGAGCAATGGATTGTCCAGTACTCATGTAAATAATTCTTTGCATTGTTTTCCCGCTCACTTGCACATTTTGCACTAGGCCTAGTGTGTCTTCTTTCTCTAGGGCTGGCATGTTTTCCTGCTAAAGCCAACCTGTCCATTTTGTACAAGGGCTCTTGTGTGTAGTTTCATGAGAACGATACTGTTTTCTCATGTAAGGTTTCACTTGAGCCAGCATTTATCTTTTAAGGCCCACTTGTACTTTTGCAGTAGTGCTGCTGGGCCTTCTTTCACTAGGGCCGGTGATGTATTTTATCCTCTTAGGCAGACTTCCGTATTTTCACTAGGGCTGGTGTACGTATTTGCACTATAGCCAGTGTGTTTCTGTGCGAAGATTGACTTGTGTTTTTGCACAAGGGCTTGTGTGTCTCCTTTTGCTAGGGCTAGCCTATCTTCTTGCTGGGGCTCACCTGTACTTTTGCACAAGGGATGATGTGTAATCCTCCTATGATCGACTTGTGCTTTTGCTCAAGGACCCCTTTCACTAGGTATGTCTTCCTACTTTGATTGGCTTGAGCTTTGTCACTAGGGCTGACGTGTTTTCCAAAGAAGGACTGGTGCATTTCCCTACTCAGATCGATGTGCTTTTGCTCTCTTGTCACTCTCAAGCCTGGCTCGTGCAATTTGCACGGGGAACGATGCACTTTCCTACTCATCTATCCTCCGTTTTGTTACCGTTTCCCCTTCGCAAATTCTTTGGTATGTCTTCGAAATAGAACAGAATCACTAATAATAGAGTTTTGCATGAGTTTTGGGCCTCCTCCTTGTGTTCACGGATTTCTTGACTGCCCTCCAGCCGTGAAACTGTCTCAGTTCCTTAAGAAGTGGAACCGGTTTCTCACTGGACAGCAAACAAGACGGAGAAACATTCCCCCGGATTCCAGTTGAGCCACTTCTGGGGTCGTTTCTCACACATTTTTCACCACAAAAGCAGAATGAGTGTCCTCCATCATCGTCATTTCTTTCCCTTTCCCCAGATGTCTCCTTCGCCGGGATGCCATACATCGACGACTCACCATCTTCCTCTCCGCGTCTTGGCACCAAAAACCTTTCGGGGACCGGTTCACTGGAATCTACCAAATCGGTACATAGGAATTAAAGAGTTTGAGCCCAAACATACTCTTAATTGCATCAGATTTGGTCTGGTTTTGGGTGCTAAGCAGGGTCGGCCCTGGTTGGTATTCGGAGTCCAGTGAATATAATGGGATTTCTCTATTAAATCCATGGCTTAGCGGACATCTGTACTAACATCAATGAACACAGGACCTAGTAAATATACCCAAAAAACACATTTCAGATGCTAAGCCGGGCTGGCCCTGGTCCGGATTTGGGTGGGAGTCTGACAATAAAGATAACATACAATTAATGGGTTAATCAAACATTAATGAACACAGGGACCAAATATACCTGAAATGCATGGTATTTTGGATGCTAACCAGGATTGACCCTGTTTGGTATTTGGATGGGAGTCCAACAATGTAATTATTTTTCCCTCAGAGTGAACCGGATTTGGAGAAAGGCCTGGAGATGCGTAAATGGGTCTTATCCGGGATCCTGGCCAGTGAGGAGACCTACTTGAGTCACCTGGAAGCCCTGCTCTTGGTATTCTTATTTTATCATATTATTATATCATATTATTAATATTATTCTACCTCTATACCTGTATTGTGCTGACTTTTCCCTACATTCATTATCCCCTATACTTATTATAATTTTATATGATTATTTTTCTATTATATTCTTATTCTTATCCTGCCTCTCTACCAATATTGTGCTGCCTTTCCCCATATCCATTATCTGAATCTGGTTCCTCTCTGGAATAGGGAGATGACCAGGGCGGTTTACACTATTGCTCTGGAACATCCCTTCTCGAGTACCTGAGCTAAACCAGCTCCTTGGTTCAGTGAGGAATTGGCAGGGATAAAGTGAAAGAAGAGGGGTCTAGAGTACGTGTGGCTTTTAAAGCGTAATGAGTCAGTTCAAACACGGCTATGTGCCTAACTGAGGACATATGCCGCAGCAATAGAAGCCACATAGAAATCCTTCTTTGTGGCCAATATTGCGTCTGCAAAGAACCATCCGACAGAGCTGTTCCGAGTGTTCAGAGGGTTGTTGAATCCCACCTCGCAGGTCAGAATCCCTGACAACTCAGCAGCCCACTGTGAGATATTTGCTCAGTTACTTGCGGACAAAGTCGCTCTGATTCATTCTGACTTTGACACCACATTAACGGCAGTCTCTGAGGATGTTACACAAACATCTACGTGTCCCGTTTTGATGGATTCATTTCAATTGGTTCAGTTTGAGGATGTGGACAAGATCCTTGGAGAGGCGAGGGCTATCCTAGACCCCTCCCCATCCTGGCTGGTAAAGGAGGCCAGAGGAGGTTTGGCAGAGTGGGTGAAGGTGGTGGTTAATGCCTCCTTACAGGAAGGCAAGATTCCAGTGAGCTTAAAAGAAGCTGTCATAACATCACTGTTGAAGAAACCATCATTGGACCCCACCCAATTAGTCAACTATCAGCCAGTTTCCAATCTCTCCTATTTGGGCAAAGTCATGGAACGTGTGGTAGCCCCGCAACTCCAGGGGTTCTTGGAAGACATTGATTATCTAGATCCAGCACAGTCTGACTTTAGGTTGGGACATGGAACTGAAACAGCCTTGGTCGCCTTAGTAGATGATCTTCATTGGGAACTAGACAGGGAGACTGTATCCTTGTTGGTTCTCCTGGACCTTTCAGCGGCCTTTGATACCGTTGACCACAGTCTCCTTCTGGGATGCCTCATGGGTATGGGACTCGAAGGTACTGTTGCAGTGGCTCCAGTCCTTCCTGGAGGGTCGTTCTCAGAAGGTGTTATTGGGAGACTCCCAAGCTGTCTTGTGGGGTCCCACTGGGTTCAGTACTGTCCCTCATGTTGTTTAACATCTACACTCCCCCTCAAGACGCAGATTTACAGCTTGGGAGTGATCCTGGATTCATTGCTGAGTCTCGAACCACAGGTTTTGATGGTGGCCAGGGGAGCTTTTGCACAATAAAAACTTGTGCGCCAGCTGCGCCTGTACCTTGGGAAGTTTGACCTGGCTACGATGGTCCATGCTCTTGTACATCCCGAATAGATTACCGCATCGTGCTCTATGTGGGGTTGCCTTTGAAGACTGTTCAAAAGCTTCAATTAGTCCAACGGGTGGCAGCCAGTCTGCTCACCAGAGCAGTGTACAGGGAGCATACTACCCCCTGTTACGTTAGCTTCACAGGCTACCAATCTGCTACTGAGCACAATTCAAAGTGCTGGCTTTGGCCTACCTGGCCCAGCTTACTTATCCAAATGTATTTCTCTCTAAGAGCCTCCTCAGAGTTTAAGATCATCGGGGGAGGCCCTGCTCTCAATCCCGCCACCCTCACAAGTGCAACTGGTGGGGACAACAGACAGGACCTTCTCGGTGGTGGCTTCCTGTCTGTGGAACACACTCCCCAAGGAAATCAGTTCGGTCCCCTCTCTCCTATCTTTAGGAAAAAAATTAAATCATGGTTGTGGGACCAAGCATTCGAGCAGCAGACGCAGTACTAATAATGCAATTGATTTATTTGACTGACTATGGACAGACCTCGGACTATGACTTTGCATTTGGATTTGTTAACTTTTTAAATGGATGTTTTAATTTACTGTTTTAATTCATGTTTTTAACTGTGATTTTGTTGCTATTGTTTGTTGGGCATCAAATGACTCCCAGTTGTGAGCCGTCCTGAATTCCCCCCCTCCCCCGGGTGTGTGCATGAGAAGGGCGGGATACAAATGTTCAAAATAAATAAATATATATTCTTTTCATTATATTAATTGCATTATATTATATTGTTTTATTATATTATTTTCTATTATTTTTCTGTGATGTCCTTCTTATCCTGCCTCTCTACTGATATCGTGCTGCCTTTCCCCTATTCTGAATCCATTTGGAGTAGCCTGATTTTATTATTGTTAATGTTATATTATTATTATTATTATTATTATTATTATTATTATTATTATTATCCATTTGTTTCTATGATATCCTTTTTATCCTGCGTCTCTACCAATATGGTGCTGCCTTTCCGGTCGGCCACGATGCCTCCTGCCTGCCTCCTCCTCCTTTGCGGGGCAGCCGATGAAGCCTTTGAAGGCAGCGTCCACCACCTCACAGCCGGTCCTGACAGGGCACCAGATCGAGACCATCTTCTTCAAGGTCCCGGAGCTTTACGAGATCCACAAGGACTTCTACGATGGGCTCCTGCCCCGTGTCCAGCAATGGAGCCACCAGCAGCGGGTTGGGGACCTCTTCCAGAAACTGGTGAGGGTCACAGGTCATGCCCAAGGGCCAAAGGTCACCATCCATGGAGGGAGGGATGGGGATGTGAATGGAGGTTTCCAAGGCAGGCGTGGAGAGTCTTCCGGGGTCATCACACTTTTCGCCCTTCTCTCGAACTGGTCACTGACTATAATAAAGTGAACTATATATTTGATATAATATAATAATATGTATTTGTTTATTGTTTTAGTTTTTGTAAAACATATGTATTTATTCATATAAAATTTATTTAAATATATTTCAAATGTTTTATGTTTATTTTTTAAAAAATAATTATGTATTTAAGTGACAAAATATTTCAATATACTTAACGTACATTTCTACTTTTTTCATTTAAATATATTTAACACAATTATTGAATAGAATATATATATATTTATTTAATATAATATATTTAACTATATATATATACACACATACATACATGTATATACATCTACTATTTCTTTAAATATATTTAACACAATTATTGAGTAGAATATATATATATATATATATATATATATATATATATATATGATAGAATATAATCATATGTATTTATTGTTTGTTTTTTTTGTAAAAATATATGTATGTATTCATGTAAAAAATATTTCAATCTATATTTCACACTTATTACCGTATATACTCAAGTATAAGCCGTCCCGAATATAAGCCAAGGCACCTAATTTTACCACAAAAAACTGGGAAAAGGTATTGACTCGAGTATAAGCCGAAGGTGGAAAATGCAGCAACTACTGGTGAATTACAAAATAAAAATAGATACCAATAAAATTACAATAATTGAGGCACCAGTAGGTTACATGTTTTTAAATATTTACATAAAACCGTACTTTAAGATAAGACTGTCCAGCTCTGATTAAGCATTATTCTAACTTCTTCAATGTAAATGTGCTTATGTATCCTTCCAATAATAATAACGAAAAATAACAAATTTAATAATAATAATAGAGTAAAATAATAAATGTAATAATAATAATAATAATAATAATAGAGAGAAAAATAATAAATAGTGTAAAATAATAAATGTAATGATAAGAGTAAAATAATAAATGTAATAAAAATACTAATATAATAAAATAATGGAAATGTAATAATAATAATAATAATAAATAGAGTAAAATAATAAATAAATAATTTTGACTCAAGTAATTTTGACTAAAAAAAGAACTGAAAAAGTCAACTTATATTCAAGTATATACGTTTATTTTATTTTAATTTTTTATTAAAATAAAATAAACGTAATAAAATACATTTGAGATATATATTTAAATAAAATATTTTGAAGAAATATTTCAACATACTTAACGTACATATCTACTTTTTATTTAAATACCTTTCACGTACTATATATATATATATATATATATATATATTCTAAATATTTATTGAAATACCTGGTTGATTTTGCAGGCCAGCCAGCTGGGGGTGTACCGGGCCTTTGTGGATAATTATGCAGTCGCCATGGAGACGGCGGAGAAGTGTTGCCAGGCCAACGCTCAGTTCGCAGAGATCTCTGAGGTAAAAGCAATGGCAGGCTTCTCCTCGAGGACAAGGCCGCCCCCGTTTCAGCACTTCGTTATGATATTATACCTCACAAATCAAAACATTTCCCATTTACCATGATATTTTACCTCATAAATCATAACGTTTCCTGTTTATCATGATATTTTACCTCATAAATTGAAACATTTCATGTTTATTATATTTTACCTCATGAATGGAAACACTCCCAATTAAATTTGAGATTTACCTCACAAATTGGAACATTTCCTATTTATTGTTATATTTTATCTTATAAAATAGAACAATAATAATACTTTATTTATATTCCATGCTATCTCCCCGGAGGGACGCAGGGCGAATCCAATCATAAAAGGCAAACATTCAATGCCTGAACACAACAACAGTACACCCACAGTAATGAAATTTGGCAACCCAACATATAAAAACAAATTATGACTTAACAACTAAAATTAAACAAAAAACGCAACCTGTTATATCTTTTACTCCTGAGGAAGGGAGTTCCAGAGGTGAGGAGCGGCCATGGGGAAGGCCCTTCTCTTGTTCCCACCAGCCATGCTTGGGACGTAGAGTGGGATCGAGAGGAGGGCCTCCTCCGATGACCACAGTGTCCGAATGGGTCTATAGTGATAATTGCACTTCATCAAACTGCATCTTCCACTATAAATATCATAATAAACGTTTCCTGTTTATTATGATATTTTACCTCATAAATTGTAACATTTCCCTTTTATCGTGATACATTACGATATGGAAAGTTTCTCGTTTATTGTGATATTCTACCTCATAAATGGCAGCCTTTCCTGTTTATCATATTTTACCTCATTAATGGAAGCGTTTCCTGTTTATCATAATATTTTACCTCATAAATGGAACCATTTCCTATTTATAGTGATATTTTACCTCACAAATTGAAGCGTTTTCTGTTAATTATGATATTTTAATTCACAAATTGAAATTTCTCCCTTGATTAATATTAATGATTTTTATTATTACCCATTTTTCATTCCTTTCTGGGGATAAGAATCTGAAGGCCAGAAGCAGCAAGGATTCGAAGGAATCGTCTACTAAAAACTCCCTTGAAAGTAAGTTTTGTCAGCGGTTCTGGATTCGCGAGATGCCACAAGTATGACAATTGGTCTTCCCATCTTAACCCTATTACATTGCATCATATTATATTAGTATATTGTATCATTATTGCATATTATAATTATTATTATATTGTATTATTATTGTATTGTTTTATTATCATTATATTATTATTATTTATAATGTAGGGGCCAAGTTCAAGAAGGCCCCATCTCTTCCATTCTCTCCAATGGAATCAAATAGAGGATTAGAACAGACTTCCTTGTTTCATTATTATACTAGTTTGGGGATCCGGCAGTGCCCATGTTATTTTAAAAAGGCATTCTTTTGTTTGGATGTTAGATAATATCAGTTTAGTAATTTGCATCGGTGGGCTTCAGGGTGCTTTCTGTATGCAGAGTGAACAACTCCCAAGTGGGTAGGCCAGTACCCCCTCCAGTATGTTCTGTTGGTCCTGGGGGCTCTGTGTGCCAAGTTTGGTCCTGATCCGTCATTTGTGGGAGTTGCAGTGCTCTGTGAAGGCAGTTGAAGGTACTGCAAATCCCATCATCCATGGTCCATCCTCCCCAAATATCACCAGGACATAAAGTGGGTCATGGGTCATGGGGGGGGGGGGGTCTGTGTGCCAAATTTGGTACTGGTCTGTCATGCATGGGGGTAGCAGTGGTCTATGGAAGTGAGTGAAGGTACTGCAAATCCCATCATTCATGGTCCATCCTCCCCGAAACTACACCAGGATGTAAAGTGGGTCATGGGGGTGTCTGTGTGCCATGTGGTCCAGGTACATCTTTCGTGGGGGTCACGGTAGTCTCTGGAAGTGAGTAAAGGTACTGCAAATCCCATCATTTGTAGTCCATCCTCCCCCAAACTGCGCCAGGAGATAAAGGGGGTCCCTCCAAACCTGGTCATGGGGGTTCCGTGTGCCAAATGTGGTCCTTGTTCATTGTCAGTGGGGGTCACAGTGCTCTGTCTTGATGCAGAGTGAACTACAACTTCCATCATGTTGAGTCAGTCTCCCAACCCCCTCCAGTATGTGCAGCTCCTGATCAATTCCTCTCTGTCTGCTGTGTGTCATAGAAAAGAGCGAGGGCCTTGGTGGAAGTTTTAGGTGTTGTGTGGAGTCCCACAGGGTTCAATGTGGAGTCCCACAGGGTTCAGTCCTGTCCCACAGGGTTCAATGTGGAGTCCCACAGGGTTCAATCCTGTTCCCGGTGTTATTTAACATCTACATGAAGCCGCTGGGGGAGATCATTCGGAGTTTCGGAATGAGATGTTATCTCTACGCAGATGATGTCCAAATCTGTCACTCCTTTCCACCTGTCACCAAGGAGGCTGTCCAGACCTTGAATCGGTGCTTGGCTGCTGTGTCGGACTGGATGAGAGCTAACAAACTGAAATTGAATCCAGACAAGACAGAGGTCCTACTGGTCAGTCGTAAGGCCGAACAGGGCATAGGGTTACAGCCTGTGTTGGATGGGGTTACACTCCCCCTGAAGACGCAGGTTCACAGCTTGGGAGTGATCCTGGACTCATCGCTGAGCCTGGAATCCCAGGTCTCGGCGGTGGCCGGGAGAGCTTTTGCACAATTAAAACTTGTGCGCCAGCTGCGCCCGTACCTTGGGAAGTCAGATCTGGCCACGGTGGTCCATGCTCTTGTTACATCCAGATTAGATTACTGCAACGCACTCTACGTGGGGTTGCCTTTGAAGACTGTTCGGAAACTTCAACTAGTCCAGCGGGAGGCAGCCAGACTACTCACCGGAGCGTCATACAGGGAGCATACCACCCCCCTGCTATGTCAGCTCCACTGGCTGCCGATCCAATTCCGAGCACAATTCAAAACGCTGGTTTTGACCTACAAAACCCTATGGTTCCGGCCCAGTTTATCTCTCTCTCTACGTCCCACCTCGGAGTTAAGATCTTCTGGGGAGGCCCTGCTCTCGGCCCCGCCTCTATCACAAGTGAGATTGGCGGGGACGAGGAGCAGGGCCTTCTCGGTGGTGGCCCCTCACCTGTGGAATTCACTCCCCGGGGAAATTAGATCAGCGACATCCCTCCTTTCCTTTAGGAAAAAATTGAAAACATGGATTTGGGACCAGGCATTTGGACAATCTGGCAGATAAAGAAAGGACTTTGACGATGGACAGGAATTGACTAAGTGGAATGGAATTATGGAACTCTGAAAGACGAACGCTGAGCATGAGATTAGTTTAATTGATTGTGTTATATACCGATTGTTTTTAACTGTGATAATTGTTTTAACTGCTGTTTTGTACGTATGTGTATTTTGTGTAAGCATCGAATTATGCCTTTTTGTAAGCCGCCCTGAGTCCCCCCTCGGGGGTTGAGAAGGGCAGGGTAGAAATAAATAAATAATAAATAAATAAATAAATTTGTGGAGGTGGGAGCCTGTCCATGTAAGAAGTGGACACTCCACCACATACACACATACAGATTTTCACTTTTATTATGTGTATTATTATTATTATTATTATTATTATTATTATTATTATTATTATTTGTTATCTGTATACATAAAAATGTAATATTAGTTTGTGGGATTAAGATAACTCAAAAAACACTGACGAATTGACACCAAATTTGGACACAAGACGCCTATCAGGCCAATGAGTGACCATCACTCATAAAAACACTGAAAAACACAGCGGAAGTGACTTTAAAAGCCCAAAAAGCAAAAAGATGCTACAGCACATGCGCAAAAATGACTCCCCCAGCAAACAAAATACACAATATTTATATCCACACGCTCTTCCGGACTACAGCTCCCAGACCAGGCCCTTTAAGAGAGGAGGATGATCCAAATACACTGCTTCCAAGATGCAAGCTTTCTTCTCCTTGGATTTCTTTGAGACCATCCCAGTCCCTGCCTATTTCCAATTTCTTATTCCTGGACTGCAACTCCCAGCAATGCTCCAGACAGATAAAATAGATAGATTAGATAGAGATAGATAAGTAGGTAGATAAATTGATCAGGAGGGCTGCTGGGAGTTGCAGTCCAAGAATAGGTAGAGAAAGGAATAAAGGGGAGAAAGAGGAAGGGAAAAAAAGTGGGGGAAGTAAGGGAAGAGGAAAAGAAGGAAGGAAGGAGAGAAGGAAAGAAAAAAAGGGAAGGAAGGAAGGTGAGAAAGAAAGGAGGAGAGAAGGGGGAAGGGAAGGTTGGCCACAGCAACGTGTGGCAGGTACAGCTATTTATATTTATATTACTATTATAATTACTATTATTATTATTTTACTATTACTATATTATATTATATTATATTTATTTTAGTATTGTTGTATATTGTTATTACTATATTTTTATTGTTACTACTACTACTACTCCTTCTTTAGGGAGGGGACACCATTTTGGATGTATCTTTCCCCCCCATTTCTCTTCAGCATTTTCTCGTTCTTATTTTTCCCCATCAGCCCTCCTCTACAAACCTGTGGATCGCGTCACAAGGAGCACCTTGGTCCTCCATGTACGTTTAATGCATTTGTTTATATATCACTTTTAATTTAATATATTAATTTAATTTAAAATATTTCAGGAACTTTTAATGTAATATAACATTTGCTTTGATTTAGAAAGTAATGTAATGTAATTTAGAATGTAATACTGACTTGAATTGAATGACAGGACTTGCTGAAGCACACTCCAGTGGGGCACCCGGACTTCCCTCTCCTCCAAGATGCCCTCCGGATCTCCCAGAACTTCCTCTCCAGCATCAATGAAGAGATCACCCCCCGGAGGCAGTCCATGACGGTCCAGAAGGGAGAGGTCAGCCCCAGAGTCAGGCAAAGGACAAAGGCGCCAATGGCATTCAGGCTGAAGTGGTGGACACTGGCCTTTTCAGAGAGAAAAACTGCCTCTTTGGGCCTTTTCTGAGGGCAAAATGGCCTCCCTTTGCTTTTATATGAGAGAAAAATTATCTCTCTGGGCCTTTTCTGGGGGAAAACACCTTCCTTTGACCACTTCTAAGGTAAAAACAGCCTTCTTTGGCCTTTTCTGAGGGAAAATCTTCCTCTTTTGGCCTTTTCTGAGGGAAAAGAGGCCTCTTTTGAGGGGCATCCTGCCTCCTTTGGCCTTTTCTGAGGGAAACCATGGCCTCCTTGGGCCTTTTCTGAGGGAAAGTGTGCTTTTCCAGATGGGCCAGACCTCCAGCTCCCTTTTCCAGCCCCGTTCTCTATGTGGCTGGGTTCTGTGCCTCACTTTAGGCTTTCCCTTGAATCCCTCAGCACCGCCAGCTGCTGAAGGACAGCTTCATGGTAGAGCTGGTGGAAGGGGCACGCAAACTCCGCCACGTCTTCCTCTTCACCGACCTCTTCCTCTGCGCCAAACTCAAGAAGCAGGTGGCAGGGTGAGCTTACCTAAACCTATATCTCTCTCTGTCCCTCTGGGCCACACACCCCATTGTGGTGGAGATGATGGGAGTGAGTGGCCCTCTTTCTCGATCCCTTAGGAAAAGCCAGCAGTACGACTGCAAGTGGTACCTTCCGCTCTCAGACCTGAGCTTCCAGATGGTGGAAGAGGCTACTCCCCCCGAAGCCGGGCCCAGCATCCCTTTGGTGCCAGATGAGGAGCTGGACGCCCTCAAGGTCAAGATCTCACAAATCAAGAGCGACGTCCAGAGGGAGAAGGTCAGTGGGAAATACACCGGGTGGCTCCATTCCGCAGCTTGGAGGAGGAGAAGGTTTACTCGCCCCCTTCTAGTGCTGGAAAGAGGACTTTGCTCCCTTATCCAGCTCCAAAGTGGTCTACTTCCTCATGTCTTTTGCTTGGAGAAAGACCTACTTTATCCCCTCTCCAGCTCTGAAAGTAGACCTACTTTCTCTCTTCTCCAACTCTGAGGAAACAACCTTTTTCCCTTCTCTTCACCTACTTCCTCCCTTCGCCAGCTCCTTTCTTCTTCCTCCAATTTGGAGGGCCTCAATACCTCTCTAGGAGTATCCTAGGTCCTTCAAGACAACTCTCTGATCACTTTCTATTTATTTCCCCTTTGACCCCTCCCTTCCTGCGCAGAGAGCGAACAAAGGGAGCCGGAACATGGAACGCTTGAAGAAGAAGCTCTCTGAACAGGAGTCCATGCTGCTGCTGATGTCGCCCAACATGGCCTTCCGCGTCTGCAACCGCAATGGGAAGGTCAGCACTTCTAGGCATGTTTTCTAGGTCCTCCGACGCAACTCTATAGTATCAATTGTATTTTAATATTTATATATAATAGAGATCTTTCCCATCCCTTAGAGTTACACTTTCCTCATCTCTTCGGATTACGAACGAGCCGAATGGCGGGAAATTATCCGGGAACAGCAGAAAAAATGTACGTAAGGGCCTCTCTAGGCATTTCCTAGGTACCCCCTTTGCAGTAAGTCCTTCGTTGCAATAGGTGTGCTCTTATTGATAGTCCAAATCGATATAGGAGTCATCTTGAGGGGCTAAACCTTCGAGATGTGGAGCCCTAGGATTGTGTTAGAGTTCAGACTCAAATCCAGAGTGGATTAAAATACTAGACTCTCAATTCCAGGCTTCAAGAGCTTCTCCTTGACTTCGGTGGAGCTTCAGATGCTGACCAACTCCTGCGTCAAGCTCCAGACGGTCCATCACATCCCACTCACAATCAATAAGGAAGGTAATCGAGTTATTGGTTATTGATTAGTCGCTATACAGAAGGGTCATTGTGGAATTATGACATACTTCCTCTGTTTGAGGCACTTATCAGGCTATTTTTTTCCAATCCGAAATCGTATCAACCTTATTTGCGACTGCATGACACTCTCAGCTATCTCATAATAATTTGCATATTTTAATGTTTTAATCTGCTTTTATACCTGACCTACTTGGGAACTGCGATTCCCTTCCTTGGGCACCGGTGCCCCATTCTATACTGTGCTGGTCAAAGACCGTAATAAATCATTGATTTGCATATTTTAAAAATTAATATTGTTACTATTTCTGGATATAGATGATGAATCTCCTGGCCTCTATGGATTCCTGAATGTTATTGTCCACTCCGCGTCCGGATTCAAGCAGAGCTCCAGTAAGTTGTTCTCTGCATTTATCATATAAATATTATGGCCGTCTATGATATAAACGTTATAAATATATAATATTTATTAATTGTATCCACCATTAAAGTAGCTTCCTGGAACCCTTGAGTACAATTACATAATCTATTTAATATATTTAATATAATATATATAATTTATAATTTATATTTATTAATATATAATACACTAGCCGTCCTCTGCCATGCGTTGCTGTGGCCCAGTCTGGTGATCCGGAAAATAAAGTAATGAGAAAGTGTTGGTTTCTAATAGATGTAATGTCTTGATGTTTGTGGGTAAACAGTATTTCTTGTTGTTTCTTTGTCAGTGTTGATGTGGAAATTGTCTGGTTTGCCTACTCTGGAATATGCAATATATAATTGTCCTTCTTTAGGCGTCGTTTTCAAATCTATATCTCTCTGTGTGTGAATCATATCTACCTATTTATATCTATGGCTGGATGGCTCTTTGTCAGGAGGGCTTTGATTATGTTTTCTTGCCCTAGTGAAGGGAGTTGGACTGGATGGCCTTAAGTATTTTCTGTTGATCATGAGGGGTTCTGTGTGGGAGGTTTGCCCCAATTCTGTCGTTTGTGGGAATCCGAATGCTCTTTGATTGTAGGTGAACTATAAATCCCAATAACTACAACTCCCAAATGCGAATGTCTGTTTTCCCCAAACTCCATCTGCGTTCACATTTGGGCATATGGAATATTGGTGCCAAGTTTGCTCCAGATCCATCATTGTTTGAGTCCACAGTGCTCTCTGGATGTAGGTGAACTACAACTCCCAGACTCAAGGTTAATGCCCACCAAACCCTTCCAGGGTTTTCTGTTGGTCATGGGAGTCCTGTATGCCCCGTTTGGTTCAATTCCATAATTGGTGGTGTTCAGAATGCTCTTTGATTGTAGGTGAACTATAAATCCCAGTAACTACAACTCCCAAATGACAAAATCAATTTTTTTAGTGATGGTCACTTCTTGGGTTAGTGGGTGTCTTGTGGCCAAATTTGGTGGCAGTTTGTCCAGTGGATTTTGTTATGTTAATCCCACAAACAAACATTTTTATTGATATAGATTATAGTTAGGGCCTTCCTATTTCTCTATCAACATGTCATCTATGTATTGAAATGTCAGTATAGTGATTTGTCTATTCATACCATTAGTAATGTTATTATTATTATTTAATTGTTTTTAGACCTCTATTGCACCTTAGAAGTGGACTCCTTTGGGTATTTTGTCAACAAGGCGAAAACGAGGGTTTACCGGGACACGACCGAGCCCAATTGGAATGAGGTAAACAAATCTAGAAATAAGTGAATAACATTTAATATATGGTTTTGGACAACTGGGTTAAAAATCACCATTTTTTTGCTCCCAGTTTATGTATTAATCGGTTAATTGATCCCATTTATAGGAATTTGAGATCGAGCTCGAAGGCTCACAAACGTTGCGGATCCTTTGTTACGAGAAGCACTACAACAAAACCAAAATCCCAAAAGAAGATGGGGAGGCCTCCGACCGCATTATGGGCAAAGGCCAGATCCAGGTAAGTTTGCTAATTGTTGTTAATTAGGACTAATTAGTTGGTCTCTTAACGAATTATTTCTAATTTCCCTACAGTTGGATCCTCAGGCGTTGCAAGACAAGGACTGGCAGCGTACCGTCATCGCAATGAATGGGGTGAGTCCCAGACTGGAATCCGGGGTCTAATTATGAGTGTTCCTTTTAATTAACAAAAATTTCTAATTTCTGATCTCATCAAGGTGGAAGTGAAGCTATCCGTCAAGTTCACCAGCCGAGAATTTAGCCTAAAACGGATGCCCTCCCGCAAACAAACGGGTGTTTTCGGGGTCAAGATTGGCATAGTTACCAAGTGAGTAAAATAATATATTCCTATAAACCAGCAGCTAATTATTACTCTCTATATGTGGTTGCATCTGAGCATTGCAACACCTCTTTTTGGTTTGTCCTTTCTATCTACATTCGGCCCTCTTTTGGATGCATCTGAGCACTGCAGCTAATCCTTTCTAATCCCAATATTTACTTTTTTGGCCTTTGCTCTTAAAACCGGATAGGTTTTGTGCTCGAAAAGCCCCAACAATTTTAAGTTGGAGAATAACGGATATGTCTGCCACATTTTGGACCCAATCCATCAAAGCCACATAGGAGCCTTTGTGGAACAAACCAGCCATGTCAAAAAGACCCCAAGATACCAGGGAATGTGTTAGGTGACTCTATCGTGACTCAAATTCTTCTCCCAAACAGGAGGGAACGCTCAAAGGTGCCGTATATTGTCCGGCAATGCGTCGAGGAGATTGAGCGCCGAGGAATGGAGGAAGTCGGCATTTATCGTGTCTCCGGTGTAGCCACCGACATCCAGGCCTTGAAGGCCTCCTTTGACGTCAGTGAGTATTATTATTATTATTCTAATTATTGCATGAGGGAACTTGTTTTGTTGAACGAGATGAAAAATCACTCAAAGTGTGAAGGTTTCTCGTATTGTTTCTGGTCATCAAATGAGAGGAAACAGTTGTCCAAAGCCACCATTATAACAACAGTAATTTGTATAAAACTCTCTCAAACTATGAGCATTTCTTGTATCATTTCTGTTTATCAAATGAGAGGGAGCCCCTGGTGACACAATGGGTTAAATACTTGTTCAGCAGGACTGACCAAAAGGTCAACAGTTCAGATCTGGGGAGCAGAATGAGCTCCCATCTGTCAGCTCCAGCTTCCCAAGTGGGGACATGAGAGAATCCTCCCACAGGATGGTAAAACATCCGGGTATCCCCTGGGCAATGTCCTTACAGACAGCCAATTCTCTCACAGCAGAAGCGACTTGCAGTTTCTCAAGTCACTCCTGACAAACACACACACACACACAAAATCAAATGAGAGGATATTGTTGCTTAATGATTCTGTTATTACAGCATTGGTAGAGAATAGAAGACTTTCCCAAAATCTGAGTTTTCCACGTATCATTTTTATTTGTTAAACGAGAGGTAATTGTTGCTTGGCGATCCTGTTAAGGCATTGGTAGTGAGTAGAAGACTTGCCCGTAATCTGAGTATTGTGTGTATCATTTTTATTTGTTTAATGTGATGAAATAGTTGCTCGATGATCCTGTTATTAGGGCATCCATTATTTGTAGAAAAGTAACTCGAACTACGAGCGTTTCACGTATTATTTCTCTTCGTGAAATGAGAGGAAATTGTTACTAAATGATCCTGTTAGTATGGCATTGGTAACCAGCAGAAAATTTTCCCACAGTTCAAGTTTTCATTGTATCATGTTAATTTCTTTAACAAGAGGAAACTGTTGCTTATTATGGTGTGGAAAACTTACCCTCAAAACATGAAATCTGGGGTGTCATCTCGTCATGATTCCAGTTATTACGGCATTGGTAACAAGTGGGAAACTTTCCCATAATTTGAGTATTTCTCAATTCTTTTTGACAAATTATTTCGATGGGAAAGAACTCAATTCTCGTTTCTTTCAGACAACAAAGACGTCTCCGTCATGATGAGCGAAATGGATGTCAACGCTATCGCTGGCACCTTGAAGCTCTATTTCCGGGAGCTTCCAGAACCTCTTTTCACGGACGAACTTTACCCCAATTTTGCAGAAGGCATCAGTGAGTCCCAAATATGGCATCACTCGAACCTGTTGTCATTCACCTTTACTTCTTTGAGGAAAAAAGATCCTCCTTGAAATTTCCAATCCTCATGGGGAGAAAGGGATATAAATAATAATAATAATGCCTATTATTATTTTTGCTTTTTCTAGCTCTTTCTGACCCAGTTGCGAAAGAGAGCTGTATGCTGAATTTATTACTGTCTCTTCCTGAACCCAATTTGGTCACCTTCCTTTTCCTCCTTGACCATTTGAAAAGGTATTTAATTTTGGAATATTTGGATATGCGTAATGTGTAATATTATATTTCATATATAAATTCATTTATGTTTCGTATATAAGTTCATTTAATGTTTCGTATAGAAATTCATTAATATTTCATATTAAAAACACATTTAGATTTCATATTGAAATTAATATTTTATTTATATAAAATATTTACTTTTCAAATAAAAAATAAGTTTCATATAGGAATTCATTTTATTTTTGTTTAGAAAATTATTTACATTTCATGTAGAAATTTATTTATATTTCATATAGAAATTCATTTAAGTTTTATATAGAAATCCATGTATGTTTCACATATAGAAATTCATTGTTTCACATATATAAATTAATTTGTTTCTTAGAGAAATTAATGCAGTAACATTACTAGAGAAATTAATGTATATAAATATATTCAAAATAAATACTATTTTGTATAAAAATTTATTTTTCATCTAGAAATCCATTAATATTTCCTATAGAGATTAATATATTAATATGATTTTGTATATAAATTTATTTCTAGTTATTGTATAAATTTATTATTACATATATCTAAATTAATTCACCTTTTGTATAGAAATTCATTTATCTTTAATATAGAAATTAATATAGAAATTATTAACATTACTATTAAAAGTATATATATATATATATATATATATATATATATAATGCAAATTCATTTATCTTCTTTCTAGAAATTCATTAATATTATGTATATCTCAATTCATTTTTGTTTTGTATATAAATTCAGTTATATTTCATATCCAAATTGTTCCAGTTAATTCTTGGTTATGAATTCGAACTTGTAGCTCTTACAAACTGTATAATATTTGATTTTCTCTCCCTGAAAAAAAAATTAATACAGAGTGGCCGAAAAGGAGAACGTGAACAAGATGTCACTTCACAATTTAGCCACTGTTTTTGGACCCACGCTTTTGCGGCCGTCTGAAAAGGATAGCAAAATACCCACAAACCCGACCCAGCCGATAGCCATGACCGATAGCTGGTCTCTTGAGGTCATGTCTCAGGTAAAAAAATAAAATTAAATTAAAATCATAAAAGGGGCAAACACAGGGTAAGAAGTATTGATTGGAAGCATGGGAATTTTGGTGTCTCGTTTTTTGGATGACAGAACGCGAATAATGGAATAAAGAAGCATCCACTGAATTCAGGTGCCTCATTTTGGATGCGATTATGGGAATAATGGGATAGGAAAGCAATACAATCAAATGAATTTCAGTGTCTCATTGTGATCCCATTATCTCGTTTTGGATGAGATAAACAGGAATAACGAGTTAAAGAAGCATCAAATTTAAATGAATTCAGGTATCTTAACTTGTTGTGATCCTGACTCATTTTGGATGAGAACAATGAGAATAATGAGATAAAGAAGCATCAAATTTAAAGGAATTTGGGTGTCTCATTGTGATCCCATCATCTCATTTGGAACAAGATAAGAATAATGGGATAAAGAAAAATCAAAATCAAATGAATTTGGGTGTCTCATCTCGTTTCAGGTGAGAAAATGGGAATAATGGGATAAAGAAGTATTACATTTAAATGAATTTGGGTGTCTTGTCTCGCTGTGATCCTGTTATTTTGTTTTGGATGAGAATAACGGGAATAAAGGGATAAAGAATCAGGAAATTTAAATGAATTTGGATGTCTGTCTCATTCTGATCCTGTTGTCTTGTTTGGGGCGAGATAAACAAGAAAAACAGGCTAAAGAAGCATCATAATCAAATGGATTTGAAGGTCTTGTCTCGTTTCAGATGAGAACATGGGATTAATAAGCATTTAATTTAAATGAATGGGGTGTCATGTCACGATCCTGTTATCTCATTTCAGAGGAGATAAAAATAAGCAGGATAAAGAAGCATTATAATCACATGAATGTGGTCATCTCTTCATGTTTTCGATGAGAAAATGGAAATAATGGGATAAAGAAATATTACATTTAAATGAATTTGGGTGTCTCATTTATGGCGATTCCAGCGTGTTTTAAATGAAATAATGAGATAAAGAAGCATTTAATTTAATTAATGGATTTGGGTGTCTTGACACATTGCGATCCTGTTAACTTGTTTTGGATGAGACAATCAAGATTAATGGGATAAAGAAGCACTGAAGTCAAATGAATGTGAATGTCTTGTTGTGATCTCATTATCCCAGGTTTTATTTTTGCTCCCCTGTTTGTTTATGAATCTTTCTCTTGTTCTGTTCCCAGGTCCAGGTCCTCCTCTACTTCCTCCAGCTAGAGACGATCCCAACTCCAGACAGCAAACGGCAGAGCATCCTTTTCTCCACAGAAGTGTAGGAAGAAGCAATCCGAATAAAAGCAGCCTCGCTAAAGTTGCAGCAAGTGTGAACTCCGGAAATCTGCGGAAATTGAGTTCCCCCAATCTTATTTGTTTGTCTGCTGTGAGGAAACCATTATTCGATTCCTCTGGAAAAGTGTGGAAAACTGACTCGTAATCCTGTTGCTTCCTTCAAACATTCCTCTGAGACTCTCTTTTTGTTTAACGAGAGGAAACTGTTGTTTGATTCTTCCAGAAATGTGTGGAAAACTGACTTAAAATGCTGAATTGTTGTTTGTTTCCTCTATTATGGCTCTGGGAATGTACAGAAAACTCTTCCGAAATTCTTTTTGTTTTCCTTGCATTGTTTCCCCAGAAATAATTTCCTCTGGGAATGTGGGGAAAATTGACTTGGTATCTTTTCTCTTCTCTCAAACATTCCTCCTTTCATTTTCTCGTTTACGAGTCTGTCATAATTTGCTTTATTTCTCCAATATGGCTCTGGGAATGTATAGAAAACTGACTCAAACTTTTTTCACTTCCTTCGATCATTCCTCGTTTATGAGTCGGAAAACATTTCTTCATTGAGGTTTCGGGATTTTGTGGAAAACTGACTTGTAATCCTTTCACTTCCTTTAATCATTCCTCGTATGATTGTCTTGTTTATGAGTCAGAAATAATTTCATTATGGCTCCTGAAATTTGTGGAAAATGGACTTGAACTCCCTTCTCTTCTGTCAAGCATTCATCGTTTACAAGTCAGAAATCATTTATTCGATTTATCTGACATGGCTCTGGGAATTTGGAGAAAACCAACTCAAAATCCTTTCCTTTACTTCAATCATTCCTTGTATTGTTTCCTTGTTTACGAGTTGGAAATAAATTGTTCACTGTGGCTCTGGGAATGTGAGGAAAACCAACCTGTAATCCTTTCCTTCCCATCAAACATTCCTCATTTTGTTTACGAGTCAGAAAGGATCTGTCCCGATTCTTCTGATACAGTTCCAGAAATGTGAGGAAAACAGTCCCAAAATCCTTTCCTTTTTGTAAAACATTCCTTGTTTACGAATTGGAAATAATTTCATTACAGCTCTAGAAATTTGTGGAAAATTTCTCTTCCATCAGTCATTCCTTGTTTGATTTCCTTGTATAAGAGTCGTAAATAGCCTGATTCTTGTGTTACGATTCCAGGAATGACTCGAAATCTTTTCCCTTTCCTTCAATCATTCCTGGTTTGATTTCCTCATTTACGAGTCGTAAACAATTAGTTTGATTTTCATTTTTATCCCATTCCTCCATTTTTTCCTCTTTGAACCCAAATTAACGAGAAGGAAAGCAACCCGTAAAAAATGTTGATGAATGGAAAAACGCAACATTTCCAAACAATTGTTTAGATTTTTTTGTAAAATAAAAAAAAGGGGGGGGGCTTTTTTAATCTTGAGGCAGAATCTTGAGGATATGTGTATATATATATTCTGTAATGTTGTCCATTTGCTGCTCACAAATAATTCTGCTTTTTTTTCTTTGACAATCCATCAGCCAAAAAGAAAAAAACCATGACCTTATTTTATTGTAATGTAAAATTAGTTTTTCCCATCCTTCTTCTTTAGAAAAGAAACCAAGAAGGATGAAAGGGTGGGACCATGATGTTTTTGTTTATATTTCAATTGATTGCTCATTTTTTTCATTTTTAAGGACCAAAATATAGATCTATCTATAGTCCATATCTATTATTTATTTACCTATCGATAGGCATTGTCATCTACCTATCTGTTTCCCTCCAGTGCCTATCTATATTGATCTATTAATCAATCAAACGAGTAATCCCCAGCCATATCTATCTATCTATCTATCTATCTATCTATCTATCTATCTATCTATCTAATTGCATCCTTTCGATATCTATTACTGTCTACTTCCCTCCAGTCCATATCTATCTATCCTATATCTAATTTATCTATCCACCCATCTACCCATCTTCTATGTCTGTCTGTCTGTCTGTCAATCAATCAATCAATCAATCAATCAATCATATCTATTTAATCTATCAATGAGAGAGACATCCATCATCTATATCTACCTAATATCTATGTCTACCTGCCTATCTATCCGTCTGTCTGTCTAATCTATCTATCTCTATCAACTATATAGCTATATCTATCAGTGTAGACATCTATTTCTCCATCTATCCATCATGTCTATCTATCCATCCATCTATCTTATGTCTATATCTATCTATTAATTGATCCATCTATTTATTGATCTATCCATCATTTATGTCTATCAATCAATTCATCTATCATCTATATCTACCTAATATCTACGTGTACCTAGCTATCCATCTATCTAATCTATCGATCTCTATCCAACTATTTATCTATATCTGTCTTATCCATTTGTTTCTCCATCTATCCATCATCTCTATCTGTCTATCCTACCTGTCTGTCTATATCTATTGATAGATCCATCTATTTATCCACTTCTCCATTATCTATTTATCTATCAAATCTATCACTCCTATCCATTTATCTATCTGCCATCTATGTCTATTTATTAATCGTTATTAATTTTTAAAAGCAATTAAAATTTAATTGTGGCTGTCATTTTGATGATGAATTTATTACCTTTAAACTCTAGAACATTCCTTCATATCTTCCCAATAGCTTTGCTTTCTTCTCTCCATTGACAAGTATTGGATCTCAGAGGAATTCCATCCCTATTTATTTAACTACAAACACAATGAAATTAGGTGTAATTTAGAAGTAATATTTTATAATTTAGCTTTTTTTAAAAAAAAAACGAGTTTTGAAAAAATATTTTCTTCTGTTTTTTAAACTGCTTTAATATTCAAAAGGTTGTCCATTAATAACCGATCAATAATCAATTAGTTTGATTTTTTTAAAGAAAGTGCTGAGCACTTGGCAAATGAAAATAATGATGCTTTTTTTCCAGATTTTTATTATTGTTGTTGTTATTATTATTTCTATTTGGAGAAAAATAAACAAGGAAGTCATTAAGGATAATTGATCAAAACTAATTATGATTTGAATTAATCAAAGGAAATGAATTACAATTTGGATTGATTGACTGAAATGAATGAAAGTTCAATTAATTGAAACGAATGTTTCGATTCATGGATCGAAACCAATTATGATTAATTGATCCAAATACATTGAAGTTCAATTAATTGCAATAAATTACATTTCAATTCATTGATCAAGATGAATTATGATTAATTGATCCAAATGAATTAAAATTCAATTAACTGAAATAAATTATGTTTTGACTCATCGATCAAAACACATTCAATGAATTGTATTACAATTCATTTAATGAGGCAAACCCAGGGCCTTCATTTGTACGAAATGTTAAATAGATTGTTATCGGTCTTCACAGTCTTTTCCGTTCTAATTAAAGATAGTAATATTTGTTTATAAACAAGCTATTTAACGTAGTGCTGATTAATTATTATTTTGGGAAATAATCATGGCGATGAAATATTAATGAAAAAGATAGCTATGGATCCTGTGAATAGCTGTAGAGCTTGTTCTCATTCAGAGGTTTGGCAAAAATTGATGATTTTAAAGGTATTTTGAGGAAAATCAATACTTAATAAAGCGAGATGGATTTGAAAATAAGGAAATATCATCATTTGATTTTTTTTCTGTGTGGAATTAATTGTATGTCTTCTAGCTGGGTTTAGGAAAGGCAGAGGAATGAGTAACCAAATTGCTAATATCCGCTGGATAATGGAGAAAGGCAAGGGATTTCAGAAAAACATCTATTTCTGTTTTATTGACTATTCTATAGCCTTTGACTGTGTGGATCATAATACATTATGACAAGTTCTTGGCAGCATGAGTGTACCAAATCACCTTGTCTGTCTCCTGAGGAATCTGTATAAGGACCAAATAGCAACAGTAAGAACTTAGATATGCAGATGATACCACTTTGATGGCTGAAACCGAGGAACTGAGGAGCCTGATAACCAAGGTGAAGAAAGTGCAAAAGCTGGGTTGCAGCTAAACATCCAAAAAACCAAGATGATGGCAACCAGACGGATTGATAACTGGCAAATAGAGGGAGAAAACGTGGAGGCAGTGATAAACTTTGTGTTTTTAGGAAGGAAGATTACTGCAGACACAGACTGCAGTCAGGAAATCAAAAGACATTTCCTTCTTGGGAGGAGAGCAATGACCAATCTCGATAAAATAATTAAGAATAGAGACATCACACTGGCAATGAAGGTCTGCATAGCTAAAGCAATGGTATTCCCAGTAGTAACCTATGGATGTGAGAGCTGGACCATAAGGAAGGTTGAGCGAAGGAAGATAGACGTATTGGAGGAAAATTCTGAGTGCCTTGGACCACATGAAGATCCAACCAGTCCATACTTCAGGAAATAAAGCCTGACTGCTCATTGGAGGGAAGGACAGTAGAGGCCAAGATGAAGTACTTTGGCCGCATCATGAGAAGACAGGAAAGCTTAGAGAAAACAATGATGCTGGGGAAAATGGAAGGAAAAAGGAAGAGGGACCAAGGGCAAGATGGATGGATGGGATCCTTGAAGGGACTGGCTTGACCTTGAAGGAGATGGGGGTGCCCATATTTATTTATTTACTATATTTATATACTTCCCCTCTCAGCCCAGAGGCGACTCAGAGCTCTGACATGGACTGGTACATGAGGTCATGAAGAGTCGGAAGAGACTGAATGAATAAACAACAACTTGTTGCTGCTCTGAATGAGTCTTGAATGGCTTTGAAGGGTTAAAGTCGCACACATGCAAAGGTAAAGGTTTTCCCTGACATTAACTCCAGTTGTGTCCGACTTTGGGGATAGGTGCTCATCTTCATTTCTAAACCGAAGAGCTGGCGTTGTCCGTAGACACCTCCAAGGTCATGTGGCCGGCATGACGGCATGGAGCGCCATTACCTTCCCCCTGTATTGAGGTGATAGTATGATAGCTGAGTCTAGAAGCTCTGAGCGTTACGGAGATGCCGCAAAGGTAGCTGTGAATAAGGGAAGAGAGGGGGTGAAGGGAGAGTGGGGAGAGTGAAGGAAGGATAGAAAGGAGGGGATGCTTAGAGTAAGGGTTAGGGCAAGGTTTAGGGTTTGGGTTAGGGTTACGGTAAGGGTTTACAGTTAGGGTACGGTTTAGGATTAGCGTAAGGGTTAAGGTAAGGTTTACAGTTTCACCCTTAAAGAACTCTTACATTCCTTCTATATTATCTGTCTCGGGCCTGGCTTACATTAGATAGGTCTCTCTTGCGCAAACAGCGCTCCCGAAGGAGCAATGCGGCATCTCCGTAACTCTCGGAGCTTCCGGACCCAGTTATATTATTACCCTATTACCCCTATTGATGCAACTCCTGGAACGATTCCATCACGCTGCCTCCGAAAAATCCTGCAAATCTCTTGGGAAGACAAGCAGACAAATGGAAGAAGCAGAGACCACCAGCATTGAAGTGATGGTCCTCCACCATCAACTCCACGTTGTCTGGATGCCCAACCACCATCCCCCAAAGCAGTTGCTCTATTCCGAACTCAAGAACGGAAAATGGAATGTGGGTACGCAGGAAGAGATTTAAAGATGGGCTCAAAGCCAACCTTAAAAACTCTGAGAACTGGGAATCCCTTGAATGCTCCAGCTGGAGGTCAGCTGTGACCAGCAGTGCTGTATAATTTGAAGAGGCACAAATGGAGGGCAAAAGAGAAACGTGCCAAGAGGAAGGCGTGTCAAGCCAACCCCGACCGAGACCCCCTTCCACCTGGTAACCGATGCTCACACTGCGGGAAAACATGCAGATCAAGAATAAGGCTCCACAGTCACCTACGAACCCACCGCCAGGACACTACACTTGGAGGACCATCATCCTCGGACTACGAGGGATCGCCTATGTAAGTAAACCGCTATTGATCTACTCACATTGGCATGTTTTCGAACTGCTAGGTTGGCAGAAGCTGGGGCTAACAGCAGGAGCTCACCCCGCTCCCCGGATTTGAACCGGCGACCTGTCAGTCACCATGTTTACCAGCTCAGCGGTTTAACCCACTGCCCCACCAGAGGCTCCCTACGCGCAAAGAGTGGGGGCGAAATCTCAGGAGTGTCTCTTGCGCCTCCTAACAACACTGCGCCTGCGCAGAATGTAACTCGGCTACCAACTCCAGCAATCAGGAAGCACGCATGCGCACCAGGGGCGGTTCGGCACGCCCCCTCGCTGGGAAATCCGCGCCTGCGCACTATACAGTCAGGCTTGCGTCTAAAGCAAAACAAGCATGCGCGCCCGTCGCTTGCGGCCTGTCAATTCAGGACTTCACTCACGGCTTAGACGATTGGAAGCACGCATGCGCGCGGGGTGGGCGTTATCCACCCTCCCTTTGTCTTCCACCAGAAATCGAGCGCCTGGAAAAGAAAGGCGCGGGGGGAGAAGCTCCTCTGGAATGTTGTCATGATTAACACCTGAGGCTCGTGGCGCTGGTGTACCTCGCCTCTAGGAGGGCCTTTACTGAACATGCGCAGGGTGAATAGCCGCCCTTAAGGGCCCCCTACTGAGCCTGCGCGGTAGAAAGCGCCCCTGGAGGGTTTTTAGTGAGCATGCGCAGTACGAATCACTTCCATGGAGAGCGCTAATTAAGCAAGAACTGCAAAGCCTCCTCACAGAGGGGGCTTAGTGAGCATGCGCAGTAGGAATCACGCCTATGAAGGGCGCTTATTGAGCAAACGCGGTGTTCCTAACTTCCAGGGAGGGCCTTTACTGAGCATGCGCAGGGCGACAGTAGAAAGAGCTCCCCTGGAGGGCTCTTACTGAGCATGCACAGTCGGAATCACGCCCATGGAGGGCGCTAATGAGCATGCGCGGCGCAAAGCTCTCCTCACGGAGGGGGTCTTAGTGAACATGCGCAGAGTGGTCCTTTTCCCCAGTTGAGTTGGTAAATGCCTGTCGAGAGGGAAGGAGGGTGCCGAGGATGAAGAAGGCGGCCAGCCGGGCCTCCAGCGCCGCGCCCAAGGCCAACGCCGGCACCGCCAGCACCAACAGCAGCAACAGCAAGGCCGCAGCCGAGAAGAGCAAGGCCGAAGGCGCCGCCTCCATTCCTGCCTCCTCCAAGGCCCTCAAGGCCGGGACGCCGTTGCTCAAGGTAAGCAAGGCCGCAGCCGAGCCAGTAGCTCATTCTCATCGTATCAGAGGATAAGAATATATCATAGCATCATAGAATTTAATAATTTGGCATGCCTCCTGCCTAGCTGAGAGTCATCACCACCATCATCATCCTCGTATAATATGACAATAACAATATAAGAATACTTTGGCTTGCCTCCTGCTTAGGTGGAGTCTATCATAATAATAATAGATGATGATGATGATGATGATGATGATGATGATGATAGAATAATAATTTGTCTTGCCTTTTGGGTCACTGGGACAAAATAATAATAATAATAATAATATGATTTGTTGATAATCTGTAATAATAATCTATCTATATAAAAATGCTCTGTGCATAATGAGTACCTTAAAAACAAAAGAACCAATGAACGAAATCACACCAAATTTGGCAACAAAACGTCTCACAACACAAGGAGTGACCATCACTCAAAAATTATGATTTTGTCATTTGGGAGTTGTAGTTGCTGGGGTTTATAGTTTACTTACAATCAAGGAGCATTCTGAACTCCACCAATGATGGAATTGAACCAATCCTGGCACACAGACCTCCCATGACTAACAGAAAATACTAGAAGGGTTTGGTGGGCTTTGACAGCACTATGGACTCAAACAATGATGGATCTGGACCAAACTTGACACAAGCACTCAATACGCCCAAATATGAACACAGATGGAGATTGGATGAAATAGACCTTGACATTTGGGAGTTGTAGTCACTAGGATCCACAGTTAACCTACAATCAAAGAGCATTCTGAACCCCACGAACGACAGAATCGGGGCAAACTCCCCACACAGAACCCCCATGACCAACAGAAAATACTTAAGGCGATCCAATCCAACTCCCTTCATCAGGGCAAGAAAACCTTATTAAAAGTCCTCCTGACAAAGAGCCATCCAACCATAAATTAGATAGATAGATAAATATGATTCACACACAGATATAGTATCATAGACTTGAAAGGGACTCTTAAAGAAGAACAATGATATCTTGCATGTTCCACGGTGGGCAAACCAGACACACTCCACATCAGCACTGACAAAGAAACAGCAAGAAATACTGTGTTTACCCACAAGCATAAAGTAATTACATGTATTAGAAACCAACACTTTCTCCTTACTTTATTTTCCAGATCAACAGACTGGGCCACAGCAACGCGTGGCAGGGGACAGCTAGTATAATATTAGTGGCAGGGGACAGCTAGTATAATATTAGTAATTTGGCTTGTGTTCCAGTTAGCTGTGAGTCTATAAATTAATTTGTGGGATTAACATAACTAAAAAAAACCACTGGGCGAATTGACACCAAATTTGGACACAATACACCTATCAGGCCAACGAATGACCATCACTCATAAAAGCACAGAAAAACACAGTGGAAGAGACTTAAAAAGCAAAAAAAACAAACAAACATTACAATGCATGCACAAAACCATATATACACAAATATATACACACACACAAAACACATATACACAGACTGGACCACAGCAACGCGTGGCAGGGGATGGCTAGTATAATACAAAATATTATATTATAATCATAATTTGACTTGCATTTGGGTTAGCTGTAAGTCAATATTAATAATAGCATCATAATAGTCTTCTTGTGGAGAGAAAAGTGTGGTATAATTAAACCTCATGATACTTTCACTTGCATTCTGGTTAACTGTGAGTCTGGAATAATAATAAGGAATTTAGGAAGGGCCTCTTGGTCTCCCTTCGTTAACCCACTTTGCAAGTCTACTAATTATATTTGTAAAAGAAATGATCTTAAATGCAGACACGCCTCCTGCGGAATGCTGCTGGCCTGGTTTACTTCATTCCATTCATGGTTCTATTGAGAGGGAGGGTGGTAGGGATGTTGGGAGGTGTTAATACTATTTGATATTAGTGTTGCTATTATTGAACTATCTATGCTGCTGAATCTTGGTCCCTACATTGAATCATCCTTGCTGCTAAGACTGGTCCCTTGCTGGCATTGTATTTAATGAATGGCCCCAAGTGTAATATCAAATAGCCTGCCTTGCACTTTATAGATTTTTTTAAACCTATCCATCCTGCTCCTGAGTTCCCTGCACTTTATTTTTGCAATTGCACTTTATTGGGGGGGGGGGGGGGGGGATTGGAGGGAATTATGGATGGTGTGATTTTCATATGGAATGTAATGTTTTTAAATGTTTAATATGTTTTTAATTTTATTCTAATTTAATTTTAATTTTTTGGAATTGTATGTGTTTTAAGGCATTGAATAATTGCCTCTGTGTAAGCCGCCATGTGTCCCCTTCTGGGTAGAGAAAGGCGGAGTATAAATAAAGTAAACAAATAAATAGAGATTGCAGGGCAGAGAGAAGGGAATGATGGGGAACAAAGTTAGCTAGTAATGCAGAGCTATTACACCAACATTGGGACCTTGGGATGAGAGCAGGAGAGTGGGGCATGTTGGGGGAGGGAGAAGTTCCAGTGGTCAAGGGGGCCTGATAGAAGTTATATTGGGGAGGGGCAGGAGAGTGGGGCATGTTGGGGGAGGGAGAAGTTCCAGTGGTCAAGGGGGCCTGATAGAAGTTATATTGGGGAGGGAGAGAAATGAGAAATGGAGACCACCAATTCGGCCTAGGGAAAGAGAGAGTTCTTATAGCTCTAAATCAGTCTCCTGACATGGTGCAAGGCAGGGGTCCTCAAACTTTTCAAAAAGAGGGCCAGGTCATAGTCCCTCAAACTGTTGGAGGGCCGGATTATAATTTGAAAAAAAGCATGAATGAATTCCTATGCACACATCTTATTTGTAGTGCAAAAAACACTTTAAAACGATACAATAATTAAAATGAGGAACAATTTTAAGAAATATAAACTTATTATTATTTCGATGAGAAGTGTGGGCCTTCTTTTGAGATAGGATTGTTGTTGTTGTTGTTGTTGTTGTTGTTGTTGTGTGCTTTCAAGTCATTTCAGACTTATGTTGACCCTGAGCGAGGGCCGGGTAAATGACCTTGGAGGGCCGCATCTGGCCCCCGGGCCTTAGTTTGAGGACCCCTGGTGTAAGGTTTCTCATCTCCCACTGTGCTGATGTGGATTAGTCCTGTCTTGAAAGAAAGACCACACCGAGACGTACATAGGCTGAAGATTTCATACCACTTTATTGTTCGGAATACAAGAGTCTAGCACTACTGCCCTGAAGACACAGGTTTGCCGCTTGGGAGTGATCCTAGAGTCATCGTTGAGCCTGGAACCCCAGGTCTTGGTGGCGGCTAGGGGAGCTTTTGTGCAATTAAAACTTGTGCACAATTGGTAGTCCATACTCTTATTACATCCCGAATAGATTGCTTCAACGTAGTCTATGTTGGGTTTGAAGACTGTTCGGAAGCTTCAACAGCCCCTCTGTTGTGTCAGCTCCACTGGCTGCCAGTCTGCTACCGAGCACAATTCAAAGTGCTGGCTTTAGCCTATAAAGCCCTGAACAGTTCTAGCCCAGTTTAGCTGTCCAAACGTGTCTCCCGCTATGAACCACCATGAAGGTTAAGATTGTCGGGGGAGGCCCTGCTCTTGGTCCCACCGTCCTCGCAAATGTGACTGGTAGGGACGGGAGACAGGGCCTTCTCAGTGGTGGCCCCTCATCTATAGAACTCCCGTCTCCTTGACATCAGATCAGCCCCCTTCCTCTTATCCTTTAGAAAAAAACTTAAAACATGGTTGTGGGCCAAGCGTTCGAACAATAGATGCAGCATTTGAGATTGATACTGACCCAATGTTACTGACAGTTGGCTTGACCTGGACTATGATTTGAATTTCTGTGATTTTAAATGAATGTTTTAATAATTTAACGTTTTAATTATTATTTTAATTGCAATTGTTATTTATGAATCTGGCATCAAATGGTTGCTGGTTGTATGCCGACCTGAGTCCCCCCTTGGGCGTGAGAAGGACAGGTTACAAATTTGCTAAATAAATAAATAGGCCTAGCTACAATATCGTAAATCACTCAAGAGTCCTGGTGCCTGGAGGTTGCCCTTTTCCACATTCTAGAGCCCACCATCCTCTCACCTCAGGGCAATTGAGTTCATATGTCCTGTCCTTCCTTTTGGCCCATGGCCATGTGCTCTGTGTCAGAATGGCTGATAGTTGGACGATAGAGATAGACATCATGCCCCCTCCAAAAACAGTCCTCCCTCTCCATGATTTGGAGGTTTTTGTGGGTTTTGTGTTTGAAACCTCTTAATGAGCACAGCCTCTTTTTATGTCAGATTTCTTTACCCATTCAGATTCACGGGGGGGGGGGGGATGTTTCCACCAAACGAAATACTGTAGGATGTTTCTGCAAATTCTGGAGCCTAAAATTTCTGCTACCTTGTAATGTTGGTTGCCCCCTATCATGATGGGCAGGGGTGGAGGGTTGACTAGGTGCCATTGGCTGCTTTCGGGAGCTGGTTTGACCAGGCTGAAGTGATATACTGGGTGAATAATTCTGTAGGTCTTAGGAATTCCTAGTTCTGCGGTCACTTCATTGACCAACCTTTTAACTTTAAGGGGCCCAAAGTACCTGGCTGCCAGTTTCTTGGTAGGTTGTCTACTTTTTAAGTATTTGGTGGAGAGGTATACCTGCTGGCCTGGCTTCAGGTCCCAGCCTGGTTTCCTGCCTTTTTCTGCTTGGTTTTTGTAAGCTGCTTGCGTGATTACTGGCTTTGCATCTTTGATGTGTGCCATCCATTATGTGAAGGGGACTGGGCCCGACTGGATGACCTCTGGGGTTGGCAAGGTACGGAGATTGTGACCATAAACTATCTCAAATGGTGAGTGCCCTGTGCTGGAATGCACAGAATTACTGTCTGCAAACTGAGTGGTAAATATTTCGACCAATTGTCCTGCTGGTAGTTTGTATAGCATCTCAGGTATTGCTCCAGCACCTGCTTGATCCTCTTTGTTTGCCCATCAGTCTGGGTTTGTATCCTGTGCTGAGGGCTTGCTTAGCTGCTAATT